CCTCCACTCACTCACTCACTCACTCTCCACTCACTCACTCACTCATCACTCACTCTCCTCCTCCTCCTCCTCCTCCTCCTCCTCCTCCTCCTCCTCCTCCTCCTCCTCCTCCTCCTCCTCCTCCTCCTCCTCCTCCTCCTCCTCCTTCATCATCATCATCATCATCATCATCATCATCATTTTCCACTTCTTCACCTCTCCTTCTCTTCCGTTTACTCCCTCACATTATTTCTGGATCAGCTTCAAGTGACCGAGGTCGATCGATTTATTTCCCTCTACTGCTCTACTCCTCCTCCCCTTCCCTCTTCCTCCACCTCCACCTCTTCCTCACTTCCCGCCTGCGACCCTTGCATCAAGTCATTCGACAAGGGGAGAGGGCCAAGTGGCGTCTGCTGTTGTCAAGCTCGAGAGGTACGCCCCTCCCGCTATCTCTCCTCCTTCCCCTCCTCTCCACTCTCCCCTTCTCCCCTCCCTCCGCTCCTCACCCTCCCTCCCTCCTGCTCTCCCGCTCTCCTTCCCCTCTGTCCCTCTCCTCGTCTGCTGTCAATGTGTTTGATGCTCTCTCCTCAGGAGCGGCTCGCGGAGGTTGCGTCAGACGCTTCCCTAGGTGCTTCCTCCCTCCTCCCTCCTCCCTCCTGCCCTCTCCCCTCTCCCCTCTCTCCCTCTCCCTCCACTTCTATTGACTGATGCTCTGGGTCGCTTCCATGAGGCGCATAGGACCCACCCCTGCACAAGGATCGTTTTGATTTGTCCTACCCCCCAATAATGCTCCTTTTACATTGTACCCCCTTTTAAACTCATTCGTACCCCACCCTTGTTCCAGCAAACTATCGAATTGAGTACCTGTACCCCCTTATTGAGAAGCAAGGAGTACCCCAACCCATTATAAGTGACAGGGGCACATTGGACGGCGAGAACGGAGACAAAGGTAAAGAGGAGGAGGAGGAGGAGGAGGAGGAGGAGTAGCAGCAGCAGCAGCAGCAGCAGCAGCAGCAGCAGTAGCCAGCAGCAAGCAGCAAGCAGCAGCAGCAAGCAGCAGCAGCAAGCAGCTGCGGCGGCGGCGGCAAGCAGCAGCAGAGGCAGTTGCAGCAGCAGTTGCAGCAGCAAGCAGAAGCAGCAGGCAGCAGGCAGCAAGCAGGAGGAGGTGGAGGAGGTAGAGATGGCAGAGGAGGAGGAGGAGGAGGAGATGGCGAGAGGAGGAGGAGGAGGAGGAGGAGGAGGAATAGGCAGAAGACTAGGAGTCAAAGAAAAGCCATGAAGAATTTTTCAAGCTTTGCCAGAAGACCAATTCCGTAATGCAAGGAAGTTGGACAAATACATCTCAATTCTCTAGACCACGTCCTTGACCGAGACCACTAGGGTCTCAGAGCTCTCAGCCTACTGGTGTTGGCCATAGCCATTGCGAGTGAACACGTATGATGATGTTTCTTGGATGTTCTTAAGCACTTGCCAGCAGTTTTCACGGCATTCATTCTCTAACTTGTTCTCCTTGCTTTTGCCAGGCTTGGTCTCGTCTGCCAGCGAACACAACAAGAAGAGCGAGAGAGGGTGAGAGATTCTATCCGGTGTCAAAGATGAACTTATAATCCAGCTGAGTCGAATGAGGAAGCTTTCTCTGCTGAGAAATCGTTTTTTCTCTCTCTTTTCCGCAGTACTCCTTCAGTCCTTGATCAGCCCTGGCCATGCAGCCGTTACAACATCTCCCATCGCCTTCATACCTGCCCCGATCCTGCGAGGAAGAGGACGAGCAGTCACCGCGGCCGCACGCATGGTTGGAGGAGGCATCAGAATGACGGGGGCAAGAGCGTTCGTGGTATCAGCAGGGAAGGGGAGCGAGGAGAACGTGATGCTGGGGAAGCTGATAGTGTCGGGGGCGAGGAGGCGAGGGATCGGGTGCGTGAGCCTGGAGACACGCCTGAGACAAGCAGTGGATGCGCCGAGTCAATGCAGTGTCGACGGCATCTACCGAGACGAGCCGCTTAACTACCTTGACAACGAATTCCTCGCCATCCATGCTGCGTCCGGCATGCGGGTGGCCAGCGGGTGTCCTGTTCGGCTACTCTACGGGGTACATGGAGGATGCGACGCGTGCAAGTGTCGGGTGCCGAACTTCCAGGAGGTGAAGCGATTCTGTCCCTTCTATGGGTCAGGAGCTCGGTGAGGAGGAGGATGAGAAGGACAGGGACGAGGACGAGGACGAGGACGAGGACGAGGGGATGGAGAGAGGAGGAGGAGGAGGAGGACGAGATGACGAATAGGGGAGGAGGAGGAGGAGGAGGAGGAGGAGGAGGAGGAGGAGTGGGTAGTGGGTAGTGGGTGTGAGAAGGAGAGTGATGCAGGAGCAGGTATGCAACGATGAAGATGTCATGGGAGAACTCGCAGAAGCTGCAGGAGATGTTCTTGCAATGCAAATGCCTGGTCATCTTGAGTGCAAATGAGGTGAACTCGATCCCTGAGATGATGGGAATAATGGTGGCAGTGGTGATGGTGGAGATGATCATGAAGAAGATGGTGATGATGCGGATGAGGATGAGGATGATGATGATGATGATGATGATGATGATGATGATGATGATGACGATGATGACGATGATGATGATGATGATGATGATGATGATGATGATGATGGTGATGATGACGGTGATGCAAAGGTTCTGAATCGCTCAAATCCCCCAGGACCTCGCAGCTCCGTTGGATAACCCGACGCGGAGAAACATTCTCAAGTATCAGGTATCAACTTCAAGTCTCCAGTCTTGCCCCTTCCTCAGCCTCCTTCTATCAGATGGGGATCGTGGATGAGGCGAAGAAGGCAAACGTGGAGAGGTAATGAGGAGCTACTTGAGTGTCCTCGGGCTAACGGCCACAAGAATTCTCCTCATCGGGCCCTCGGACAACGTGCCGCTGGGTCAGAGCAGCATAGCAAAGAGGCTCATGCAGGACGCGCAGGAACCGACGCGATCCCGTACTGCTTTCCCGCTTACTTCAGCCCGCAGGTCTCTAAAGGCCTCAACAAGGCCAAGAGTCAGGTTGGAGGAGGAGGAGGAAGCGAGGAGGAGAGGACAAGGAGGAGGAGGAGGAGGTGGTGGTGGAGGGGCAGGGAACGGAGCAGAGAGTTGGTTGTGATGGAGGAGGTCTGCTTGCTTCTGACCCGCTGGCTCCCAGCTCGCGGGTTTGAAGGTGTGGGACAACATGCAAGTCTCGGAAAACTCGAAACCTCTGCAGCCGCTGGCTATCGAGAGGTGGGTTGAAGCTGAGGCCTTGTGACCCCCCCAGCCAACCTTCAGCAGGTACTTGGATGAACGAGGGATCACCTATCAGAGCATCCGAGCTCCCTACGCCTTCATCACGTGCTGCCCAGCTGCTCGCTACCTGACGTTCGCTCATGGCTCGTGCTGCAGGACGGAAGCCATCGCGGACCTGGTGGTTGAGAACCTGATCCACGCAGGATCGGCGGTTAGCGCAGGTGGGATTCAGGTGGGGGTCAGCTGAAGTTTGTGCGCAGGATCGAATCGTTGTAGATGAAAGTTGAAGTATCCGGTAGGATTCAATGAAGTCTCGACAACCTCATTCCCCTTCCTCCCTCTTTCAGCAACATGCTAGGCATCAGCAGCTCATCTAGCTCATCTAGCTCGTCTAACTCGTCGCATCCGCTCGGGAAGCGACTAATTCAGTTCTGCCGTCGCTGGTGCTCTCAGCTCGACACGTTGAGCGAAACTCCGGCAGAGTGGCAACTTGTTAAGCCTTCTTGAAGAAGGACGCGATCCCCACCTGCAGCAGGGGATGAAGTCAGCAGCCGCCACCTCAGCGAGCAGCTGAGGGTTACCTGCTGCTTCTTAACAGCAGGTTGAGCCTTGGAGGAAGTTCCCTTGCCCTTGGACTTGCTCTCCTTGCTCTCCTTCTTCTCTTTCTTGTCCTTGTCGCCCGAGGTTTCCTCCGCCTTCGCAAAGGCGCTCTTGTCCCTCACTGCGCTCGCCTTGGACTGCTGAGCCTCGTCCCCTGCCTCGCCCTCCTCGTCGCTGTATTCCTCCCATACCTGACAAGAGCCAGTCAGAGCTCGACAGTTCAGACAGATGCTGGGCATCAGAGTTCAACAGATCAAACATATGCTGGGCAACAGGTTGACAAACAGGACCAGGGAAGTACACGGTAAGACCACGGACGTACTGTCAAGTCACAGCCAGCTGTAGAAATCTCTCCCACCTCCTCAGTGACGATGTAGCCTTTCTCGTCCATTCTCGTCCGTGTGACTTTTCTCTTCCTCTTGACTTTCTGTGCGTTGCTGGGTGCGAACTGAGAGACGTCGAGGGTCTTCTGTGCGTAGTCGAGCTCTACTTCCTTCTTGGTTGACCTCTTCTTCTTCACCTCTCCCTCCTCCGAATCTGCTTCCACCTGCTTCCGCCTCCTCTTGGGCTTCTCGCCCTCCTCCTCGGTCTCTGCTGATTTCTTCTTCCTCCTCTTCGACTTCTTCGCTCCCTCCTCCCCATCTCCTTCCTCTTCCCTTGCCTTGCCTTTCTTGATGATAACAAGCTTCCCATCCTGCTGATCTGCGTCGTCCTCCGCCTGATCCATCTTGTCCGGATCGCTGGCGTTGGTGTGCTGACTTGAGTGCGAGGAATCGCTCTCGTCCCCGCTCGACTCCTCTTCCAATACGTCCTTCTTGGCAGCCTTGTCACTCTGCGTATCATTCTTGGCCTGTTCCTCCTTGCTCTGTTCCTCCTCGGCCTTCTTGTTGGCGTTGTCGACTTCGTCATCATCCGAGTCTTCAAACACCAGGTTCTTGTACTTGTTCACCTCAGGCCTCTCCTTTCTCCTCCCGATCGCTTCATCCTCAGAGTCTGAGTTGTGATACGGGTTCGGGTGGAACCTTCGTTTCTTCGTGATGATTTCTTCTTCGCTACCTTCCGAGTCATCGTTGATGAAATCATCATCTTTGCTCTTGGAGCTACTCTTCTTGGAGCTTGCCTTTGTTTCTTTCTTCGGAGGAGACTCTATCGCTTTTTTCACCGGCTTCCTCTCAAAGTCGAAATCGAATCCCAGGACAGGTTTGATCTCAGGTTTCTATATCATAAAAGTGAGTTCTTGCACACTAAGAATCTCTTGTTTCACCTGCTCCTCCTCATCCGACCCATCAGCTGAAGGACACATGTTAGAGACACTTCGAACCATCCGACCACCGTCACCGGCTTGCTGGCTTTCGGCCTTGACAGGTTTCTTGTCCTCACTCTTGGTAGACTTGTTTCCTCCCATAAGAGCCTTCATCCTTTGCTCTGCCATGCTCATCTTGGGAGCCTTGGCTGCTGGCTTGCCTCCACCAGCCAACTCCTTCATCCTGTCCCATCGTCATCCAAGGCTGCAGAAGGTAACAACCTGTCACCTCAGCTCGGCAGCAGACAGCTTGGCCTCTTGCTTCACGGGCTTCTCAGCCTCTTTCGCCTCCTCTTTCTTCGGGAAGAAGGTTGGCGTCTGAGCAGCCCCCTTGGTCCTCTCAGCCGATCGCGGCTCGTTCCCAGCAGCCGTCGGACTGGCGATAGCATGTCCACCTGGTGAGACAGGGAAAAGTTCTGTTTGAGGACCGGCATCAGGATGGAAGCGTGCGGAGCAAACGCCAGGGTCAAGGAGGAACTCACGTCTCGGCTGCAGGTCCCTCACAATCTTCTTCGACTTCACATGGCCGTATCTGTTGTCCCTTAGGCTGTTCAGAACTTTCCAGTCCGCCTGTCGGCATGACTTGATCATGTCCAAGAAAAGAGCCCACGGGCATCGCACCTGATAAAGCTCCTCATTCGCCTCATAGTCGATGGTCCACAGCACTGAGCTCGCACACAACGGCTTCTCCCCGCTCCTCTTGCTCACACTGAAGGGCTGGCTGTCAGCACAGGGAGGATGGAGTGAAGTCTAGCACACACCTGAAGACATGTGATGAAAGGATCTTGGAGAACTTGCGCTTCGCGCCATCCAGCTGATCTTCACGAACGACAGTGAAGTGTCGCTCAGTCTTTCCAGCCACATCTTGTTCGGCATGCAGGAAGTAAGTCGCAGCGACTTTGTCTTGGTTTTCTTCCACAAAGCTGTGCAAAATCCTGGAGGGCGGCGTCAGAACTATCAGGGCCAGAGCAGAAGACTCTCTCGCCTCTTGGCTGCATTCGCTGAGATGGAGAGGGAGTTACTCAACCACTTGTATGTCACGATCCTCTCCTCGTCTAGAACGAACCCGCGCAAGTCCTCCATGTACTGGGCCTGCGCCATGTTCGGGCACAGCCTCCAGCCGGTTCCTGCACTGCACGATCATGGGATGACACAGACAGGAGCAGAGTATGAAGGAGAGCTATGGAAAGATGGAGGAGACGGCAGGAGTCTGAGCCAAGACAGGCTGCAAGGACGGAAATAGCATTCAGGGTTGAGGGTTGACAGAGGAATCTCTTGAAGAACAGAAGAGCGAGGAAGAGGAGACGGTTTCTGGGGTGACAGGAAAGACGACAGGAGGAGAGAGGTCTTAAAGGACATAGGAGAGGGAGGAGGAGAAGGAGAGAGGAGGTCTTCAGGGACATACGAGAGGGAGGAGGAGGAGGAGAGGGGAGAGGTCAAAGGGATCAACGGAGAGAGATGAGAGGAGGGAGGACGAGGACGAGGGCGAAAACGAGGACGAGGAAATGGTGCTGGTGCAGGTGCTGGTGCTGGTGCTGGTGCTGGTGCTGGTGCTGGTGCTGGTGGTGGAGGAGGAGGAGGAGAGGGAGGAGGAGGAGGAGAGTGGGGAGGTCAGGAGGATCGGGTTAGCTTGCAGATCGCCATTCGCCGGCTCTGCCGCATTTCCCGCCTTCGGAGCCCTTCAAGGGTCGAGGTCCCCAAGATTCCAAAAAAATATTGTTGATGACAATATTTCTTGCAGTATTCACTGTGAGTTTTCTGGGAATTTTAATGAACCTTCAATAAAATAGGACCCCTACCCCCTTCACATAATCTGTTTCTGACCCACCCCACCTATTAATTCCCTTCCTTTCTATGTTCTCGGACGGGGTACAAAAGACAAGGTCAACTCTACGTAAACATTTTATGTTGAGCAAGTGCTTGTTTGACAAATGCGACATGGCAGCCTGCCAGAATGACGACTCCTGCCCCTACTCGTCCTTGTCCTCGTCCTCGTCCTTGTCCTCGTCCTCGTCCTCGTAAAAAGTTGTCCTCCTCGTCCTCGACATCGTCCTCGTCCTCGTCCTCGGCTCGTCCTCGGCCTCGTCCCCCTCCGAGCGAGTCCCGGTCCCGGAAGCTCCTCCTGCTGCCAGTCCCCGGCTTGTGCTCCCGCCGCAGGGAGTCCTCCTACTTCAAGGCTCGGAAGCTCATCCTTCTCCCCTTTCCTTCTTCTCCTCCTCCCTCTCCCCATCCACTCCTCCTCCTCCTCCTCCTCCTCCTCCTCCTCAATCTAGAATGCTCTTGTCCCGTTGTGGAAGTATCGGAAAGCTCCATCCCCACTGGAGGAGGAGATGGACGTCTCAGCTTCTTGCCAACACCGTGTGCTCCCGCAAGAGCTCCTTCCACGCAGCTGCGAGGACTCGATCAGAAGAGGAGGAGCAGGCGGAGCAGGAGGAGAAGAAAACAAAGATAGGAGGACGAGGACGAGGACGAGGACGAGGACGAGGACGAGGACGAGGACGAGGACGAGGACGAGGACGAGGGCGAGGGCGAGGACGAGGACGAGGACGAGGACGAGGACGAGGACGAGGACGAAGAAGGGGGGAAAAGACCCACAATCATGTAGCGCCAGTGACCAACGTGTCGCCATGGAACGCCAGCAGCGAAGAGACAAGCTTCTAGTTTGACTTCGCTGATCCACCTGCTCGACCAAGAGAAAGCGCCATCAATGCTGGAGTGGTAGTGGAGGGGAAGAAGGAGGAGAACAAGGAAAACGTGGTGGTTGAACAAGAAGCGAGTGGGAAGAGGACAGCAGCGAGCAACGGCAGAGGAGGACAAGGAGGAGGAGGAAGGGGAGGACAAGGGGGAGGAGGAGGAGCAGCAGCAGCAGCAGCAGCAGGGACCTGGGCATGGTCGGGTAGAAGGGTGCTTTGATGGCATAGAGGCAGTTACGGAAGATGGTCATGTAAATCGACATGTCTCGACGTGAACCGATGGCAAAGAAGTCGGTGATGTGAGCCCAGCGCGCGACCTGAGGAGGACAGGACAGGACAGGACAGGACAGGACAGGACAGGACAGGACAGGACAGGACAGGACAGGACAGGACAGGACAGGACAGGACAGGACAGGTCAGGTGGAGGTGAAGACAAGGAGGAAGACGAAGAGGAGAGGAGGTGAAGAGAAAGGTGATGCAAGGTCAGGAAAAGGAAGGATGAGAAGAGAAGAAGGAAGGGAGGAGAGTGCAAGAATAGGCTATCAAAAAGGGAGGGAGGGAGGGGAGGGGAGGAGAGGGAGGAGACCTGGTCAGTAGCTGGAACAGAAATTCTGGGATCTTCCTCAACATCTTTCCATGAGAATCCAGGGATAACGACGTCCTGTAGAGGATCACTCAACCTCTCTGACTTTTTCATCCCCCTCCCTTCTCCCTCGCTATCAACTTCCACTTCGACTGTTTCCTTCTCCTCCTCCTCCTCCTCCTCCTCTCCCGCCACCACTAACACCACGATTACGTCCTCTTTTTCGTATGTCTCTTTCTCTTTCACTTTCACCTTCCGCTCCTCTGCGTCTTGCTCCTGATTCTCCTCGTCTCCTAACCTTCTCAGCCTCCTCCTCCTCCTCCTCCTCCTTCTCCTCCTTCTCCTCCTCCTCCTCCTTTTCAGCCTCCTCCTCCTCCTCCTTCTCTGCAAAATCTCTGCTTCCCCCCGCTAACCGGTCGAGCTCGGATGATGTGGGTGTATCGCCTTGAGCGGTAAAGCTCCTGAAGCTGGAGGACAAAGCTTAGCGATCAGAGAGGAAGAGTACCTCAAGAGGAGGAGGGAGAGGAGGAGGGAGAGGGAGAGGAAGAGAACCTGGACAAGGCGGTAGCACTCGTCCACATCATGCCAAAGGTGGACCAATCTGCGAGGAAAAGGAGGATGAGATGAAGAGATTCGTCTCGAGAGCAGTGGGAGGGAGGTAGGGGAAGGGAAGAGAGAAAGTGAGGACAGACAAAGGAGTGAGAAAGAGTAGATAGCAAGGCAGTTGTGTCTGAGTTTTTCACCTTTTAAGGGGCTCAGGTTTGTCCGGACGATAATAGATGAACCTGCAAGTGAGGGAATAAGAAAGCAAAACAAAATCAACAGCGTTCAAACAGACCAACGGGCCTCACCGATGTCCATCAATCAGATCTGTTTGCAGCGGAAGATCAGAAGCTATCTTGAAGTTTTGGGGGAAGAGTGAAATCAATCCTGATGAAAGTTGTCAGAGTCGCTGGTGAGTGATCAGAACTTGTTTCACTCGGGGCTGTCCCATCACTCAATATGTACGCAAACAGATCAAACTTTGGAAGCTTCGAGAGCAGATTGTCCTGCAATGTGAACAAATGAGTCTTTGATGTGTCAGAAAAGAACAGAGACACCATCACCTTTATCAACTTTGCTTCTGATCCTCTCATCGCACCAGAAACACATACAGCAACATCTGCACTCCCACCACCACCATCTTCATTCACCTCCGACCTGCCTTCTACACCCGCATCATCCTCTCCATTTCCGCTGGAGCGACTGACTGAATTCTCCTCGTCCGATTGCCTCAATTTCTGCCCCATGACATGTGAGTACCAGCACGTGCGTCTACCATGGCGCACGTTTGTCCAAACTTCGATCAGCTGCATCGAATCCTGCGGCAGCATCGCCAGCAACGATCGCAGGGAGGTCAGAGCATCGATCTCCTGCTGCTACACTCCTCAAGGTAAACTCCCCCGCCTCTCCCCCAGCTCGTCTCTGCACACCAATCGTCTCTCTGCCAGCTGCGCATCGCCGGCCTCTCCCTGAGCACTCGTCACCCTTGCAGCTCCACCCCAGCAGCTGCTCACCTGCCGAGCAGCGATGGAAGCGATCCTCTCCTGCAGGCTGGTCTTGGCCATGGAGATGACCCTCGGAGGCGACTGAGAGGCAGGGAGACAAACTAGCAGAGCAATGATCACATGTGCATACTCAGATGAGGATCTTGGTCGTCTTCGAAGACAAACACGTCCGCGTCCAAGGGAGCAACTCTGCTCTTCAACAGATGGCTCGCTGCGCCCTCCCCCTCCTTCACAGTGAAGCGAAGGGTTTGCAATCCCGGTCGGTCCACCGAGAGGTTCACAAACTTGGCCACGTTCCACAAAAGCGCGTTCTCTGCTGGGGACCCGGGGGGTTGGTGGGAACCACATAGAGACGAGCTGAGAAACTTCTCGGTATCATTGACCAGCAGCGACGCAACAATCTCAATCCCAGTGAAGTTGGGCACCGTTACATCTAGTCCTACAAACCAGATCTCATCATAACGTATCCTCAACAGAGCCCTTGCTTCTCGCCGCACCTCACCTTCAGGCAGGAGGGGAAAGAGGAGCACCCATGGTTGCTGTCGCAGCTCCTTCCCTTCCACCGCTCCCCAACTTGGGCAACGTCATACGAACACAGCGCGAAACAAGAGGCAAGACGAGGTCTCACGGGCTCCTGACCATCTGCAAGCGAAGAGCAAACATGTTCACAGACACCTTCCCTCGCCGTCAGAACAAAACTCAACAAACAGCCACATTGCAGACCATGTCGCTGGCACATAAAGCTCCCTTCGACGACGACCATGTTACCCTGATGTCTCCTTCCGTGTATGGAACAAGTAAGCTTAAACATGTTGAAGCTTCTACTACCTTGTCTATCAGGAAGGCTGATAGCGATCTCGCTCACTCCAACATCGAGCATCTCTTCTCTTACGACGATGTTGTTCACGTACACCATGACATGGCCAAAACTGCATTCCGCCTGCCCATCAGCATGGTCGTCATGCCAGCACAGCCGTCCATCGTCATCGTCACCGAGGATTCGAAGTGATCGCCATCCCGCAAGCCAGCCTCGTAGATCAACACGACAGGCCTTGCCCTCTCGAACTCTCCACGGAACAGCACAAGTCTGTCCGTCGGTTGTAGGATCCGGATGTACTCCGCACTGCCTCGGTGTTGCTCTTCCTGCCAGCTGCCCAAGTTGGACAAGGACACTACCCCTGCTACCGCGACGTGTAGAGCCATGATGAGCAGGGCCTTCTCACTCCTCCCCTTCATCTTCTGGGGCCTCCCACCAGGATCTGCTCACTCAGTGCCGGACTCAGTCGTGCCTCTACCAGTCCGACATCCTGTCACGCCGGCGATGTGGATCAGCACTGACTTTGAGTAAAAAGACAAGATACAGATCTCCTCTGATCGTTGAGACTCTGCTGAAGATTTGACCTGCTTTTCAAGTTTGCCGTTGCTTCCGAATCCGCCGGACTATAACTGAGTAACGCCGACGGTTACTTACAGTACCGGACCGGGTCACTGTGGGCCCGGCCGCGCGGCACCCCGCGGTGCAGCCTCACCGGGCTGAGTGACGAGCCCCCCGGGGGGGGCAGCCGGGCCGCCCCGCCGGCCGCCGCCCCGCCGGTCATCCGCCGGGAGTCCGGCAATCGGCCCCGGCGGCCGCCGCGGGGCGGCCCGGCGAGCCGCCGCGGCGGAGTCACGGCGTCACTGCATCCCGGGGGCGTTGAAACCGCACGCGGCCGCCGCACCGTTTAGGCGCGGCTGCCAGGGACTCGGGCGGGGCGCCGGGGCTCATGCAGTGCGGCCGCCGCCGGCCGCCGCGCCCCCGGGCCCCGCCGGATGATCCGGCAAGACGGTGCACTTGATGGAGCAGTACTCCGTATGCCACCCCGGTGCCAGAGTCAGATAGCGCCGCTAGCAGCTTAATATCACTTGACTTATTTGACATAATTACGTTGTATGGTTTTGGTCAAATGACACTTCTAGCGTTCTACTTATTTGACCACATGACACTGGCTTCTCACGTTCTACTGATTTGACCACATGACACTTTTCCTTCGTGACTTTTTTGACGTATTACACTTTTCCTTCGTGACTCAACTATGAACAACTGCCTTCTTATCTCTCAGGCTCACTTTCCCTTATCATTCTCGTCAGGCTTTCACATGATTTCAGCAAGGGGGCGGAAAGGCATGGCGAGACGGTTAACAAAAACTCTCGATGGAGCGTACTCCGTATGCCAGCCGTGGGCCAGTCAGCCTATGATAGCCCCGAGTTAACGTTGAAAAACTCTCCTGTAAATCAAGACGACTTACGTGTTTGCGAGGCGGGCAATGTAGCGTCACTGTCACTGTGGGACGACTCGGTGAAGAGGGGGCTTTCCTAGCCGTCTTGCTAAGGTCCTCTCATGTCTATGATCAGTCACCGTACGGTGCCGCTTGGGTTTCAAGCCACATCCTAGCCGCATACAGTCCGAAGTATCTCTCATGTGCTCCTCAATTCCAAGTTCTGGTTTTGTGTGCACTTAAACTCGGGTTTGAGCCGCAAAAACTGTCTTGTGACAACCGTACGGTAAGGTCGATGTGATATCTGCGTGACTTTGTCGGACTAGTACAAGTCTAACAAACTTCAGTGTCATGATTCCGTCAGCACTGCACCGTCGCACGGCCGCCCCCCCGGTGGCACGGTGGCTCGCTGAGTCGGATCAGCATCGGATGCGGCGGCCCGGCCGGGGCCCCCAGGGCCCGGCGGTGCCAAGCCGCACAGCCCGGCCCGGCCGGCCGGCCTGCCACGCCGGCCCGGGCCGGGTGCACTCAGTACTGCCGGGCTCGGAAGCCAGGCCAGCTAGCCAGCTGAGCTCGTATCAGCCTCGGTACTAGTTTAACTTGTGAGTAAAGAAGTGCAAAAAGTTCACTGAATAGTACCGGGTACTTGACCTTATAAGGAGGGGTGGTCGTGTGGTGGTCACGCCTAATAGGTGGACTCGGCATGCGACCAATCGCTGCAGGAACAGCCGCGCGTGTATGGGGTAGGGTGGGGTGATAAAGGCTGATAAGGAGGGGTAGACACAGGGGTCATAAGGGTTCCTTGACAGGTTCGGAAGCACCCATATCAAATGCTTCTCCAGCTTCATTTCACCACCGGTACTTTTAAACTTGATGGACCCGGTGGTACGACTCGGATATTTAAAATATCTGGACCCCATAGGGACTCAGCGCCGTTGAAAGGTGCGCACCGTAGGTGCAGTTTAGTCCCTATTTGAAACCACCCCTACTTTACTCAATAGAGTACCCCCATAAATTACCAGAGGGTCCTGCTGTTTTTGTTGACCACCCACCGTTGAGCTTTGACCGACAGAGCCGAATCGGAGGCTACGGCAGGGACCCCTCAGTACCACCCACCCCCTCTTTCAGGTACTGATTCTGTCCATCGCACCCCACTAGACCAAAGCCCCACCCCCTACCCCCATCCCGAGGCCCACCTCCGGTGTTCCCGTCCGACGGTACCCACCCCTTTTTCCTGGTTTCGTCCTACCCACCTGGAGCTACTACCCCACCTCCGTACCCATACCACCCCTCCTCTAGAGTCTTCTTGTACCCCTTCACATTGCTCCTTTTACGGACACTTTCGCTCGGGGTGCCCGCAGCCAGTGCCCGGGATTCGTGTTGCTCGTCTTCTCCCTCCCCCTCCCTCCTCCCATCAGTAGTCTTCACTGTCTAGCTCCACTACTGTCTCCTCCTCCTCCTCCTCGTCTATCAGCTCGTTCCCTTCCCCTCTCCTCCTTCCCATCTCTCGCCTCACCTTTTGTCTGGACTCTGAACGGAAACAAACAAGGATGGTTTGAAGCGAGAAGGCAACATCTCGTTTCTATCACCTTCTCAGCTCCTCTCTGCTACAAGGTCAGTGCTCACCATGTAACAGAATCCTTCATCTCTTGCTGTCAGTGTGGATACTGGCATGTTGCGAGTTTGCACGATGCCGTCACAGTGCATTCTTGCTTTCTCTTCCTGCATGAACCACTCGCTCGTGATCTCCACCTGTCTAGCCATGATCACTCTCACTCCTCCATCTTCATGATCTATTACAGTCCATCAAAATCCTCATTACTTCGGTCACTATCGACCTTTCGATCTTGCAAATTTGAAACCTCTTTCCTGTGTACTTTAGGAGTGATAACCTATCATGTTGCTGCCATCTGCTTTTCTTCCTCACAGGATCCCATTTCCTGCCTTTTGAATCACTCGGTCCCTTCCTCTCCTCCTCTACCGCCTCCTGTTGTGAACTCACATCTGATGGCAGCGTTGCAGTGATCTGAGGTCGTGCGCGACCTGGCAGAGTCACGAGCATCAGTCGAAGCTTGTCAGCATGGGGGCAGAGACTTCCAAGGCGGAGGGGACAAGCATCTTACCTGACCTGTGCTGCTTCGAGAGCGGGAGGAAGGAGATGGTGCTTACGTCGAAGCACCAGGAGAGAGTGGCGTACGATGACAGGTGGGAGCGAGCAACGTTGACTTGGACGTTTGTGATGCTGCTGACCAGGCGCCAGCGAGCCGGGCTGGAGGCCGTGCGGATCGCGGAGGCCGTGCGGATCGCAGAGCGAAGAAGTCAGGCTGGGGGTAGCGATGTAGATTCTCGAGCGAGGTGAGGAACGGAGAAGCAGTACCGACGTTGAGAGGAGGGGAGGGAGGGTGGGGGTTGTGGTAGCTTGGAGGAGACAAGCCACAGGACGTGACGTTTATGGCAGCTCGGGGGAGCTCAGCTCAAACATCTCGAGCCCCCTGTCACAAGACAGCACAAGGCAGAGCTCGACCAAGAGCAAATCCCTGCCAACCTCCCCGGACAAGTTCGGGTTGAAGCGAGGGGGACGGAGAAGCTGAAGAGTGTTTCCAACGAGGTCGACGTACTGACGAACAAGCTTGCGGTGCGTGCAGGAGGTTGGAGAGCTTGATGTTGTCGACTGACATAAAGACAGACGTTGGCAGAGATGGAGAAGAAAATGACAAAGACTGTGGAGGGCAGAAAGAAAGTTTTACAGTGATTCATTTGCGATTTTTGTTTCCTCAATAAAGAATTTTGTTTGGATCCGACAGGCCCTGAAACAGTTCTGCTTGTGGAAGAAAGAATATTTTTATCTTAGCGCTTCCTCCTCCTCTTCAATTCTTGAAAGGGTTCCTTGAGAATGAGGTCTTGGCCGCTTGCGCCGCTCGCCATGCAGCCATTGCGTCCTGATTGACCTGCGATTTGATCAGGGACAATAGGAGACGCAGAGAGTGAGGGCAGGACAGGAAATATAGGAGCAGGAGGAGCGGGAGGAGCGGGAGGAGCAGGAGGTGCAACAGGAAAGGAGAGGCAGGAGGAGAGCTTCAGAGGTTGGAGAAAAAGGAAGGGAAAGGGGAAGGACCTCAGCCTTTCCAAGCTGGATCTGTTCTTTCTCTTGCTTGGGAGGCTCCTCAACGACGGGCTCCTGCTCTATGGCTTTGACGAGCGAGAAGTCTCCGTCGATGTGCTTGTCGATCATCTGTATGAGGAACGATGAGCACACGCGATCAAGAAGGAAGAGAGATGATGAACGGATGGGGTTGGAGGGGGTTTAGGAAGAAGACAAGTAAAACACTCTCAGTAGAGGGGGAGTCAGAAGGGAGGAGGTGGTGGAGTAGGAGTAGGAATAGGAGCGCAAAAATATTACAAGACGTAATATTTGCTCACCTTTGCAAGATCTCCAGGGATCTGTGCGATAACAGAGCCAGCGACATACTTGTCTATTGGCTGACCTCCCTTCCAGACCTGTCGGGAATGTTGGTGTTTCGAGTAGGATGTGAAGACCAAGACGAGGCACAGATGTTCCATGAAGACAAGAGAGGGAGAGGAGAACGTGAGGGAGGAGAGGGGAGAAGTTTGTTCACTGTCTGATCAGCAGGGGGATGGGAGATTTGTTACACAGCGGACTTCTTCCTCACCTGGAAGGTTGGGATAGCTACAACCCCAGCCCTCTTCTTCACCAGATCTGACGCGCCCTTGGTTTCAATGTCGATCTTGACAAAGATTGCTCGCTCGCCGTAGCTGTCACAGGACAACGTCACCAGTGGCAAGAGGGATGGGACTGAACATTGTGTGTGTATGGGGAGAGGTAGAGGAGGAAGAAAGCGGAGTAGGGGAGGGAGGTTTGTGACGATGTGAGGGACGGGGGAGGGGAGAGGGGGAAAAAAGGATTACAAGAGGAAGAGACGGCAGGCAGGAGGGTTGAAGGGGAGCTGGTGGGGGTTGAGAGCAGGAGGGAGGAGGAGGGTGGGGGTACCCTTTAGCGATGCCGGAATACTTCGCCTTGAGTGCGAGGCACTTTCGGCACCAGGAGGCGAAGAATTTGACAACCACAGGAAAGTCGCCCGCCTCCTCCATCACCTTCTCGAACTCCTCCGCCGACTTGAGCTCCTTCACCTTCCCATCCCCTACCCTCCCGGCTCTCCGAGCGGTCTTGCCCTCCACCTCTTCCGGCCTCTTCCGCATGTACTGGATGAGCGACTTGTAGAAGTTCTTGACGCTCAGCTCATCCTCGGGCGTCGCGTCCTGCTCCTTCAACTCCTCCTTCCACCCGCCATCCTTCGAGTCCTCGTCCACGATCGCGCAGATCGTCTCCGACTCGCATGCCCGAAGGAACTCGACCTTGCTGACCGCCCCGTCCTTGTCAGCGTCGATGTTCTCGAAGATACACCTCCTCTCCTGCTCCGCATATCCCATCGCCTTGAGCACTGACATCACCTCCTCTGCAGACAAGCTGCCCGACCCATCTGCGTCCATTTGCTCGAACGCCTGCGAGAGGTCGGCGGGAGTGATAAGGATCTTCCCTTTAGAGCTCTTGCTCTCCCTCAGCACAGGGTTTCTCGAGAACGTCCGCGGACAGTGCGACTTGCCGAGTCTGTTGGAGGCGCCAAGTAGGGAGGAGGGGCAGAAGGAGAAGGAGTCGATGCCGGTCAATAGCGCCATCGTAAAGAGCAAGACAGTAGTCCTTGCCTTGCCAGCTAACATCTTTTGAAGTCACTCAGGAGCGGTGGACGAGGATAAGGACTGACGATAATTGTGCTGGTGGTGCGAAGGGAGAAGTCCGGTACAGCTCTCTCGCTGTTGATCTCTGGATGACAGGATGTCAGCATGAGTGAGCAAGCAAGGACTGCCTGAGACAGAGTAACAGCATGCATCGTGAAGGCTGTTGTCGACTTCTTCCTCAGATTGTTAGATATCCCACGGGCAGCTCTTTAGGACCTCACGAACTTCACTTGCAGCGACAGCGACCTATCTCAACCCATCCTCGTATAGTCCATCCTCTCTCCTGTTTCTCCTACTCCATTAGCACTTCCGCTTTTTATCCAAATCGCACCTCAACTTCTATCTCATCTATACACTACATCGGCTTCCATGACAACATGGAATTCACCTATGCTGCTGTGCTTCTCTCCTCTCCTCTCTTGCCATCTTCGCTCCTCTCCTCTCCTCTCCTCTCCTCGCCTCTCCTCTCCCCTCCCCTCCCCTCCTCTCCACTTACTCCCTGCACCTCCCCATTCCAACTCGGCATACCCCTTTCCCTCGCCCCCAACGAGGAACGATTTTTCACCCCACCCGCCATTTACCAATTAACTTAGATAAACATCATGGTGGGTGATAATTTTTGTTTTAATAAGTGGTACTAATAAAAATATATAAACTATAGCTAAAATCTCTTGAATTTTTGTTCCCTTCAATCAGAGGGACCTTGCACCTTCACTAGTAGCTAAAGTACCCTCACCCCTCACCCCCTTTATTATCAGAAACTACCCCCTAATCCCGAGCTCACCCCTCGTTTGACCCGGACAAGTACCGGTACATACCGCTTTAGATATCCGCAGAAATTAAAAATCACTTTTAAGAAGTACCCCCTATCCCCACCCCTGTGATGACTGCAAGTACCTACCTTTTTGTCACTGAAGGAAGTACCCCCTCAGAGTCCTCTCGGATCTGGGGTGAGGGTTGGATGGTGCTAGACATGGGGGTAGTATATGGGGATAGGGTGGTGGGGTGGTGGGAAGGCGTGTTCGTTTGAATTTGCCATCGCGATGGCAGAGGTATGCGCATGATGATCGCAGATGAGAGAGAGAGAGGAAGAGAGAGAAGGACAGAGAGGAAGAGACAGAGACAAAGACAGAGACAGAGACAAAGACAGAGGTGCAGGTAGAACTGACAGGGGTTGAGGATCGGTAGTGGGACAACAGGCATCAGTTTTCTGTGAGATCGAGACAGGATCGTGCGAAGGAGTTATGGCAGGATTCGAAGAGAGCTGATGGAGAGTCTAAAACCAAGAAGAATGCAATGAATTCACGGGAATGTACCGAGATGTATAGGACAAGATGTTGTTGGGAGAAACCACAAGGAATGGGTTTGAGTTTATAGAGTCAACAGTGGCGAAGAGAACCATATCTAGACCTTGACGATTGACTTGACAGGAGATGGAATCTCTCCGCGAGGAGCTGAAGCAAGCAAGAGAGTATGCACAGCAGTGCGAGGACGAGTCAGTCGAGCTGAGGAGACAGATCTGCAGCCTGACGAAGGAGAACTCCCAGCTCAAGGTTGGTGCTGCCATTGCACGATGTTCCCATTGCTGATCTTGCCTGTGCCGCAGAAAGAGCTGGAGAAGTTTCAGGCAGGTCTCACTACCCCCCAGCAGACCCCCATGGATATCTCAGGGAAGAAGACGCGAGGAGGGCGAGGTGACTTCACTGTCAACCTGACACCTTCGCTCCTCTACATCATCCCATTCCTCTTGCTCCCACTGCTTCTCCTGACCCCCTGCTAGTCCTCTCCCTCCTCCTCTCCCTCCTCCTCTCCCTCCTCCTGACCTGATTCATCTAAGATTCTCTCCTTCCGTTCCTTTCCCATGCCTCCCTTCCCTGCTACTGCCCGCCTTCCCTTCGCTGCAACTGACGGTCTCGCGACTTGCAGAACGATCGACGTCCGTAGCTCCGATGGAGACTCTGGAGGAGGAGACTCCTTCTAACCTAAGGAGATCCGCGAGGAGGACCGGGCTGCGGTCTGCCAGCAAGCAGGAAGCCTCCTCCTCCTCCTCCTCCTCCAACGTCAAGAGCGCTTCCAAGAGAAAATGCGATGAGGTGAAGGATGAGGAGGGACGAGCGTATTGGCTGACGTGTGCCAGCAGGACAACGAGCCTTCGCTGAAAGACTCCAAGAGGAAGAAGAAGAACGCGGAACAGAGTTCAGAGGAAGGTGCTGCCCCGGCAGCGTGCGAGGGGACGGAGGGGAAGGGGGACGGCATACCGCAGTCGGCGAACGAGCAGTTGCTGCTGCTAGAAGGCCTTAAGGATCACGGTGCTGTCTGGGACGAGCGAGTGAACATGATGAAGACGATCGGGGAGATGCTGGAGAAAGGAATGTTGCAAGCAGATGAGACCAGTGAGTACTTGCTGCCCTCCTCCTCCTCCTCCTTTGACTCCTCCTCCTCCTTTCTCTTTTGACTCCTGCTCCTACTCCTCATCCTGACTCCTCCTGATCTTCCTCCTGACTCCTACTTCTACTCCTACTCCTCCTCCTACTCCTCCTCCTCCTACTCCTCCTCTTGACTCCTGCTCCTTTTCCCTCGTCTTTCCCACGCTTCTCCCTCTCTCCTATTCCATAACATTTTGATGGTCATGGACAGAATTTCTTGAAAAGCTTTGCGAGTATTTGGCGGTTCAAGTGAGCGACGCTCGCTCTCAGGTTGATGTTGCTGCTGCTTTTTCACTTCTTTCTCCCCTCTCTTTCCCATCTCCTGCCCTCCTGCTCCTCTTTCTTCCCTGCAAGGCTCAACCTCCCATGTCAGATCGTCAGAGAGTCCTGCACGTTGATCAACCGCCTCCTCCCTTTCCTAGGCGACAAGCTTGCCAACGGTGCCAAGTGAGGCTCCCCCCCTCCTCCTCCTTTTCCTTCTCCTTCTCCTCCTTCTTTTCCTCCTCCTTTTCCTTCTCCTCTCCTCCTCAGTCTGCCCTTGACGCTGCCCTTCTCGTACAGGTTCCTCCTCCCCGCGCTCTTGAAGCTCACCTACGTTAGCATCAAAGTCATCTCGGAGTCTGCTACCCAGACCCTCAAGGCCATCACAGCCGCTCTCACCGTAAGCACTCCCCTCCCCTCCCCTCTCCTCCTCTCTCCTCCTCTCCTCTCCTCTCCCCTCCCCTCGTCTCCTCTCCTCTTCTCATCCCTCGCCTCCTCTCCTCTCCTCTCCTCCTTCTCCTCTCCCCTCCAGTTCTCCCTACCCGTCCCTCATCCTGACGCTTCCGCAGCCTTCCTCCCTGCTCCCTCACTTCCTAGCTGCCATGGGGGACATCCACCCTCAGGTCAGTCAGTCAGCAGCACGAGGAGGTGCCTTAGCTTTGCGCAGGCCCGTTCGTGCGCATCCTCGTGCGTGGAGATCGTCATCAACCAGACCAGCGGGAAGGAGAGCGAGAAGGAGGTCAGATATCCTTATCATCTCCCTCCTCCTCAGCTCCTCCTCCTCAGCTCCTCCTCCTCAGTCTCCTCCTCAGTTTCCGTCTTCGTCTCCCTCTCCCTCTCCCTCTCCCTCTCCCTCTCCCTCTCCCTCTCCATCCTCCACTCTCCTCCCCACCCCTCCTCCTTTCCCTTGCTGTTCTCCCCTCTTCGCCTCTTCTTCACTCCGTCTTGCTCTGACCTCCTGCCTCTGATCAGGTCGACATGATTGTTGAGATTCTGAGCAAGTCTCTCAGTGACACGAGTGCGGACACCAGAGGTCTTCCTTCGTCCTCGTCCTCCTCATCTTCCTCCTTTCTCCTAGTCCAAGTTTCTCTTGTACTCCAGCCCCCTCCTCTCTCCCCTCTCCTCCTCTTTTCCGTTCTGCAATCTTCTCTCCTCACTCCCTGCCCAGCAAACGGCAAGGCTGCCATGGAGCAGTTCATGAAGAAGTGGCCCGAGAGGTCGTTATACCTTTCATCTTCGACCTCCTCTCATCTTCCTCCTCCTCTCTTACTTTCTCCTTGTTGTCTCCTGTCCTCCTGTCCCTTCCCTCCCCTGGTACTCCCCTCCCTTTCCTCCCCATTCCCTCCACTTCCTCCCCTCCCCGCTCCCTCCTCGTCTCTCAGCTCATGTGCACTTCAGAGCCGACAAGCTCCTTGAAGGCTCGTCAGAGAGCATCCGCAAGCTGTTCAAGAACCCTCCCGCTAACCGAGGTTTGGGAGGAGGGAGGGGGGCAGAAGAGGAGGAAGAGAGGAGGGGAGGGCAAAGGAGGAAGATGGGTTGGGGTGAGGGGGGCTATGGGAGGAGGAACAAGTTAGGCTGATATTGGCTGTGCTAGCTGAGGTGAAATCATCCTTGGCGAACAAACGGACTGACTTCCGGGCGCTGAGGATGGAGCACATCAAGGTTGAACCCCTTAGAGCCCGAAAGTTGTTGTTGACACGTCAGCAGAAACTCAAGTCAGGGGCTGCTGACAACGCTCTACCTGTCGACGTTGTTGTCGACGGATCGTCGAACAAGGAGAACGCGATGTAAGGAGGAGGAGTAAGGGAACAGGAGAGCCTGCCAAGGGGATGCAACAGTGTGTTGGAGCGCGTCGACTAACAATATCCATTTGTTGTCCTTATCTTGATTTATTGAAAGACATCCCAACTACCTTTACATTTATGACTTGTTTTATCCTGCCCCCTCCCTCCTCCTTCACTTCCCTTGTCCCGGCCCCTCCCGCTGCTTCCTCCACCTGATCAGAAACTTCTGAGCGTGCGACCGCACCTGAGAAACTGTTCGCGTCTTGACAACCGCGGCGATCAGCTCGGCAATACCTGGCCCCAGCCCTCCACTGTCACTAGCGAGAGTCTCGGGACTCAGCTTCTTGAGGGCCATCAAGAAGGTTTCGTGCTCCTCCTCCTTCCAGTGCCTTGAGTGACCCGCGGCAGATCCCTTCTCTCCTCGCTTCTTCTGCTTCCTCCCCCCTGCTCCTCCTGCTGCGTCTGCTCGAGCCCCTTCGTTGCCGTCGGACTCAGCTGAGCTCGAGCTGTCTGTAAGCTGCCCACTGCCCGCCATCTCCGTCGCCGAGAGGATCGTCTGCTGAAAGTCTGCTCGGAAAGGGTCGTCCATGCAGGCATCCAAGGAAGTCTTGTCTCGCTGCTGCTGCTGCTCTCTAGCTCTCTGTGTCGTGGTAGAGTACAACCCTGCTGCTCCTTGTCCACCGGAGGGATCTGAAGGAGTCAGATAGGATTGACCGGGCTCCTGATACTCCGGCCAAAGAGCGGCAACAGCGCTGTCAACAGATTGAGAGGCAGGAGGACGAGGCGGCGCGATGGAAGGGTGTAGGCGCGAGGGACCAGGTACGTCGTAGCAAGGAGGCCTGTCGTAGCCCGCGTTGCTAGCATGTTGCGATGATGTCGGCAGGGGAGGAGCGTCCATGGGAGCGCTGAGCCCAGCAAGGTGAGATGCAGCATGTATCACCGTTTGCTTGTGCACAGGGGGAACAGGGAAGTCCTGATGGAAGCTGGAGTAGGAAGGAGCAGGGTTGTAGCAAGCAGGAGGTGCGTCGTGAATGGCGTCCTGGGGTTGTTGAGGGCGAGCATAGATGTGAGAGTAGGGAGGATAAGGTGGAAATGCAGTTGGGGGGTGTGACGATTGTGATTGGTATGGGAAATATTGCAGAGATGACTGTGTGTCCAAGTGAAATGGAGTCTGCGACTGCAAGGTGTGGTCGTACATGGGGGTCGGAGGGAGGGAGGCTTTCCACTGATGGGCGATGGGATGCAATAAGGACATGCGGGAGTGAGGGAGATTGGTGGAGGGAAGTTGAAGAGAAGATGAAGAAGTTTCAGCAGGGGAGAAGTGGGATGAAGGTTGGCGATGTGGATTGATGGAACGAGGTGGAGCGAGAGGAGGACTATGAAGCTGCGTCAGAGCAGGGAGTGAAGGAGGATGAGAGAGAGGGTTCGACCGTTGTGTGAGAGGAGGAGTAGGGAGGAGGGGGTCCTGATCGTTGCGGGGGAGAGGAGGAGGAGGCGGAGAGGGCGGGGAGGAACGCTCCGATCGCCGGCGCATGCGAGGAAGTGTTCTTGACGGCGGGCGCCGTTTTAAACGGATTCCGGGTACCCCCCACGACATGAGGAATATCCAGAGGGGAGTGGGGGTGGGGATGATTTCCGGGTGGTGGAAAGAAAAGACGTTCTTTCAGAAAAAGAAACTCGTCCAGACCTTTCTGAGACCAGAAATGACGTCGTTTCGTAAGGGATACGGATACACGCCCCGAACCGCAAGAACCTGCGACCCCTTTGGGTCAGCATTGACCTCCACTAGGCTGAAGCTGCTGTAAACCTACACTAGGTTATGACTAGTGACCCCCTTATTAGATAGCTAAAGCTCTGAGGCGGGTGCAGTTTGTTTTGGCTCCTTTGCGTTCAAAGATATCGTAGAAGGCTCTAGAAGAAATGAATATATATCCAAGATACATCGAAAAAATCGAAAAGATATATGTTCGGATATCAGCATATCTCCTGGTTGTGGTGCGCCCCTTGGACAGGTATCCATGGTTTCGAGAAAAAGCGGATATGGCGGTAGTCGATGACGAGCGATGGGAGGAGGGAGGCGTCCTTCGGGGCGGGGAGAGAGACGTCAGAGAATGAGTACAGAAGAGGGGAGGGAAGGGCAATGGAAGACAAGGGAACGGAAGGGATGGAAAGGGAATGCCATCGGGATGGTGCTGGGGGTCCATGGCTATCGAGTGGCTGAGTGTTGACGATACTATGCATAAGGATATGAAGCACAAGACATCGAGCGAACACAATGGCGAGATAGAAGAGATGAGTCGCACAAGATGATATGAGCAAAAGGGAAGGGGGCAGGCGCTCAGATGAGGCGGCGTCACTACGAGACCATAACGCTGTCAGCCTCGCTCTTCGCTGATCATTCTTCCTCGTCTGTCTGTGATCGCTGGTTTGAATGTCATCATACATACCTGGTTGTTGTTGACTTGGGCGCATTTTCACTCACGGCAAACACTGCCTACAAACACTGCCTACACTGCGAGTGCTGTTTTCCCTTCACTGTGCGAAACCTGCCTACAATGGGGGATGTTTCACAGTGTGAATAGAGGAGCCCAAGTGTCAGTCGCGCTGCTCAGCTCAACGTAATTGGGCTCATGGATGGTAGCCCTTGGAAGCTTCTTAGGACCCTGAAGGAGCCAGAAGGAGCAGATACAGTGCGACAGAGAGAGTTGACAGTCATGTCTTCACCTTTACCTCTCTGTGATCCCAGCACGTGGCCCTCCTTCTGAATGTCAGAAGTGTATACTAGTAAACAGAGCATATTTCTTTCATCTCGGGGAGGGCGACAGATGATCAAGGAAGCGATATAAGAGCTCGACGAAGAGATCGAGAAGATCTTAACGACGATTGATCCAAGAAAGGTGTAAGAAAAATCTTCAATGACTGTCTGTAGCACAAAGCTTTTTCCCCTGAGCATTTTTTGGTCAACACAGAATCTGAAGAAAGTAAGAACAGAAGACTTGGGATCTTATCGCTGGACGTTTACATATTCTTATCAAAATTCTTGATCTTACCGAACAATATCACCACTGTTTTGCAAGCAGTTTGCCTTGTACCTTCACATTTACATTGTTGTTGATATAATAACGCTTCATTTGTCTCTGGTGTGCTCATCAAAGCTCTCAAGATAGAGAACAGTTGCAAGTCCATCACGCAGCTGCTGCCCAGCACTTGGGTAAAGATCCCTGGGCAGGCAAAATCTGTCCAGCTTGAGCTGACCTCCATCAACAGACTCATGTTCAAAATAAGCTTCAAGTTTGATCGAAGTCCATCATAATACTTGAACAAGCCTTCAAGATAGTCGAGTGACTCGCAAGGCTGGAGAGAAAGGGGTTTTCGTCGTTGACAGCCGTGGGCGAGCGAAGGGGAGTTGGGGCGGGAGGAGGAGGGATCTTTGAGTACGGAGAAAGAGAGACAGAGGGAGGAGAAGGAGGAGAAGGAGAGTTGTAGGATGAGGACGAAAAGTGAGGTAGAAGAAGCAGACACAGGAAGAGAGAGAGATGGGTAATTTCATTACACTGCTGAGCTCCCTTCTGTCAAATTTCTCCTGGTTCGCAACAAACGCTATCGCAATTTCACCAAGACGACCAAACTTGACGACGGAGATTTGGCTGGGAGACCAGGAAAATGAGGAGGACTTGACTGTCTGAGTTATCGTTCATGTATAGAGTCATCGATTACGATGGGAACTTTCAAATTGAATCTTCGGGAGCCCGGCCCGGTCGTCTCCTGCGTCGGTCGAACCGCCTGATTCAAAGAGCAGAGGGATCATTCAAAGACTGTTAGTATCATTTGAAGATTCCGATCAGAACCCCGGCGAAGAGCTCCTCTGTTCACATACAAATCTGCCGCATCATTCAAGCTCACTCGGCTTGTCATTCGAAGAAGCTCTCTGCCTGGATTGCGGGTCAGTCTCAGGGCCCAACCTCTTGGCTCAGCTGCACTGATGGTAATGCAGCAGCAGAATACAAGTCGCAGATTTCAGCTCCCGTCGCTGTCATTTGTTGTTGCGCAAGTGCATGCGGGTCAGTGCGCAAGCGCAGTCTGTTTGTTGTCTTGTCAAGGAGTCGGAGCACAGCAGTGGATGTTGCAAGTAGAAGCTTTTCTTTCACGACATTCACCCCTGTTGTCGCGCTGTGGGCATCAAGTCTATCCCTATCAAGTCATCTAATACAGCAGCCAGTTTCAGCTCTTGAGCTTGAGCTCGAAACGGATGAATGGCTATCAGCGTTGCGAGCATAGCTTGACTCTCGCCTGGCTTGCTGGAGTTATGAGAACATAGGGCCAGAAAACATGTGCTGGTTCCCTCAGAGTTGAACATCTATCCTGTAGGAGGGAATGGTCGCGGTATCAGGCTGACGTAAGCTGTAAAGACTCGATCCTCTCCTATCGCATCTGCATGAGAGGGCTGCAGGTCACTTTCTCAAAGGCTTGCTGCTTGCCGCCTCTGACCCCCTACCTGCCTCACCATCCCATTCAGAGCACCCGATGCATGTTCCCAGTAAGACCTGTGTGAGCGCTGGTGACCGCGATGACTAGAGGAGATGCATGGAGGTGAAGTGGCTACTGGCGAAGGGGTCAGCACAGACAGAAGAGCTCGGAGAGGTGATGACTGGTCCTGTTTGGTTGTGTGTACCTGATGATCGTTGAACGAGGGCAAGTGTGCTCAGAGCAGGATAAAATCTGCTTCGTGTGAGAATGTTTGACCAAGTGAGCGTGGTTTATCTTGCTTTACGGTAAGTTAACAATGTTTTATTGCTTTCATAGTCGTACATTGCAGAGATACAGGAAGCCTCCTGAGGTCGATGCTAGATTAAATTAGTCACAGCTCAGACAGGGTGAAAGACGAAGGGATACTGCAACAGTTGTTTGAGGAATACATTGTGTTGAAAACATGGCGAAGGCAAAGCGCTAATGCATAACTCTTCGAAGAGAAATCATCATTAGGTCACATAATTATTCTCTCGAGCCAGACACTGGTCTACTTTCATGGCATAGGCAACATGATAGAGATAAATCGAGCTAGGGACGAGCTAGGGTCCAGATGTGGACCGGGTCCAGATGTGGACCGGGTCCAGATGTGGACCGTTCGCTATAAACAGTGACCTTGAATTCTGTACAGAAAAACACAGAGGCAGGCATTGCAACACGTCTATGTTAACAGCCAATCAATGCAAAATTCCAATGACAAGACAAATCCCTCAGGCACCATCGTCAATCCTTGTTTCAGGCTGGAGGAGGACGAGGAACTGCTGGAGGAACTGGGGGCAGAACTGGGGGAGGGGCAGTTATGAAGGGGGAAGGGGGCGGGTGAAGGAGGGTGGGGTCTATAAGCTAGGAGACAGGGGTAGTGAATTCCAGTCAGCCGACCAGCACGAAACAGGCCGCGACTGGTTCCTAAAATAACAATTTTAAAAGAAGCTCTCTGAAAAGACGTCTTATCAGAGAATACTCTTCTAGCTGTCATCTCCTTTTTGCATTTTAAAAAGTAATGCGGCCCCCCGATAGGACCCCTGGTGATCGAAAACGACTATTTTCGATTTTCAGCAACACCAGATCTGTACCACCAAAAAACAATACAACCATTTTCTCACAAACATGACGGGTACACTACCTAGAGTACCGGTGATATTGCAGGAAATTGGTGGGGTAGAAGGAGTAATGGGTAGGGTACGGAATGTATATTTTTACGCAGGGAGTCAGAAGAAGTCTGCAGGCTCAGGAAGAGGAAACGAGGTCGGAAGGAGAGAGAGAGAGAGGGAGAGAGGAAGAGAGAGAGAGAGAGAGAGGAAGAGAGGAAGAGAGAGAGAGAGAGAGAGAGAGAGAGGAGCGGAACGGAGAAGAGCGGAGAAAAGAAGCAAGAACCAGTAGGCACTGGCATCGTCTCAGTCTTGGCTGTCTAGAAGAGGTCGAAAAGGAAGTGGAGAGATTTTCAAAGATTTTTGGTTGCACATTCTGATATCTACAAGCCTCGGCAACTCTCAATTGTTGTTACACTCGACTTCTCTGTCCTGAGATCTTGAAATTCAAAAAGCTACGAAAAGATGGAAGACGGGAAAAACCACTTCGTGCCCCAGTTCTCAGTCTTTGCTGCTCATGAGAACAATCTACTGGAGCCGTCACAAGGTCCAAGCAAATCATGCGCAAAACAATGTACTGCACAGCAACGGTCAAACAACTTTGCAAAGCCGGGCTCAGCTAAGCAATCTGACAAGAATAATACAAAGGATGCTATGTTCTGCTCATTTTTCCAGGTGACAGATGATCAAATCAACTCACTCACCAGCAATAAGAGAAAGTGTCTTTGCGCTCTGTTCAACTCCATACTGTGCATACAAAAGAACCCAAACAGGCTTCCAAGTGTACCAATATTTTGTCCAAGTGATATAAAACTAGAGACTATTTACACACAGCAAGAATAGTTGAGCACTTTTTATGTTTGTGTAATAAATGTATATTCTCATACAGTGCAAATGTATGCGCGTTGTCAGTATGAGCAGACCTCACACACATCTTGAATACCCTTTGCAATTGTTTTTGCATTGCATAGATAAAATTTGGGCCACAAGGAATAATTCTCGCTGCCCTCAGAATTGTGAAGCACGTTGCAATCAATGGCGAACTTGCGGGGCGGTCAATCGCAGACATATGTCTTCAAGCATACATGGAGCTGCATGCTCACAGGGACTGTTAAAAGGAACACGAGGAGGTGCAAACGAGGAGGTGCAAAGGAAAGTTTCTTCTAGTTCTTCAACTACGACGAAACCTCCGGCGGGCTGGAACGACAAACCGTAGGTATCAAAGTGAATGCTATGGAGATTTTCGGAGGAAAAAATATACAGCGATCTACAGTTGTGTGCTAGTGCGTTGTCTTGCTTTTCCTGACATGTTCATTTATCCCCTTGACTTTCTGGTTGACCAGGTCTGGCTTGGCTCTTGAGACACAAAGTGCATGCGCTCTTGTATCGCCCATGCACGCATATCCCTCCTCCTCCGCACTCCTTGCAGAGATATCGCAGCTTCATGTGCTCACATACACTCCCTCCCTTGCAGTCCTTGCACGCGTTCCGCTCCCGTCCGTGCTGACAGATACTTCCTCCGCCGCAATCTCGGCATCGTGACCGTCTCTTGTTGTGCTGGCAAATACTTCCTCCTCCACATTCCCGGCATTGCGTCCGCACCCTCCCATGCTCGCATATCCCACCTCCTCGGCAGTCCCTACACTGGTACCGCTGTCTACCATGCTCGCACGCTCCTCCTCCACCACAGACCTTGCACTGATACCGCTGAATGCCATGTAAGCAAGCTCCAGTCCCGCAGGCCTTGCATCTTCTCTTATTCTTACCATGTTCGCATCGCGGGTACCGATCCTTTGAAGATTGTTGGCCACTGTGTTCCTGGACTTGAATCCCACCAACAGCCTTCTTGGCCCTTGTTGACCTTCTCTTCACCCCATCCTGAAGCTCCTTCGGATCAGGGATGAGATGCGATAGCTCTCCCTCGCCATCCCTGGCCTCTCCTTGCTCCTTCCTCTTCCTGCCTTGCTCGCTTGCTCCTTGCGCAGCGAGGGTTCTCAGCATCGCTTATGAAAGAAGCGGGCCAGCCCTACTGTCAACGTACGAATTGATACAGGGTGGTGGTAGGTGAGCACAGTACCCCTACAAAATCATGAATGATGTAGTCAAAGAGAGGGGTACTTGTATGGGCTATAGGGGTACTTGAAAGGTCGACATGGTGGGGGCTTTTATTCGGAAATGGCCATATCGGGTGGGGTGGGGGTCTGACTATCTAGGGATAACTATCATACTAGTAGGATTTTATTTAAAGACTCAATTAGTAAATAGTATGTGGTAGGGGTGGGGGTTCAATCACATAAGAAAGGTGGAGTCGTTTAGGGGGGTGGGGGTAGTCAATAAAGGGGTGGTGGGCAAAGGTGTAGTACTGTGTGCTGCCAACGGAAGGTTGGCGACAGCATGGCAGACAGGCGACGGAACGGAGGAGAGGAGGGAGAGGAGGGGGAGGAGGGGGAGGAGGGGGAGGAGGGGGAGGAACAGGATTCAAAGATCGATAATGTTGGAAATGAACAATGGTTGACATGACAAGGAATGCTGAAACAGGATAGGAGGAAAGAGAATGGAATTGAGAAGCAGGAAACGCGAAAGGAGACAGAAGAACGATTGTTCAGAGCAAGACAGGTCTAGCCCAAGGGGGAGGAGAAGATGAGGGCAGGGAAACAAATCTCTGTTTGATGTCCCATAACATGTGGAATGATAACTCAAAAACAGACTAGTCTAACGTGAAGATTTGACAGGAGCTGCTGTTTGCGGCGTGTTGAAAGCTGATGATTCTGCTGTTTCAGATGTTTGGAAGAGATTTCCTTGCGTGGATTCCGTCCTCGATTGCAAGGATCTAACCATTTGTGTTCCTGCGGGCTACACCGTTAATCGAAACGAGTGAGAGTGAAGTTTGTTGAAGTGAACGATGGCGACGGCGGAGAACTTGTTCCCCGATCTTCATCACAAGATGAGCAAGAAGATCGCACAGCTGACCAAAGTGATCTATCATCTCAACTCTAAGAACGAAGACCACACGGACGATCTCAATGCGCTGGCAGACGCGTATGAAACTGAGATCGATGGGGTGAGTGATGTGTTGCAAGCTCAAGTCCGAGGGCTGACTTGTCGATGTTTTTCCTTGTGTTCTCTCTTGTCCGAATCAGATCTTGAAAGATGCCTACACGAAGATCAACAAGTTCAAGGAGAAGCTGGAGGAGAGGAAGGAAGTTGATCGGCAGCAGCAAGCTGTGGATGAGTTCAAAAAGCAGCATGAGAAAGAAAAAGCGGAAGCGATTGAGGCGTTTGAGAACTTCAAGGCGAGTGCCAAGGCGAGGGAGAAAGAGCTCAAGGCCGGGTATGAGGATCGCATCAACAAGATGGTCAAGGAGATGGACAGTATGAAGGCTGAGTTCAAGAAGCGTGTCGACGAGTTCAACAATGCAGTCAAGAAGCTTGACTCCCAAGGTGGGGAGCAGGTGGAGGAGATGAGAAGGAAGCATGCGCAAGAGATCAGCGATCATGTCAAGCAAGCAAACGCCAAGTACAACGAGGTGAACATGCGCTTCATAGCTCCTCGCCTGCCCCTCCGGCCTTGTCGCCCCTCGCTACTCCCCATGTCTGGGACTCTTAAGTTGTTCACTTCACTTCTCTCTGTTCCGAGCCTTCCAAGTTCCTGACCTGCTGCAGATGCTGAAGGAGAGACTGGATGAGGAGGAGCGGCTGCGACAGGAGCTCGAGAATGCGCTGAAGAAGGCCATGAAGGACGCGGAGGCAGAGATGTCGAAGAAGCTGAAGATGGCGACGGCCGAGGTCGAGCAGAGCAAGCTCGAAGAACTGGAGAAACTTCGGAAGAAGCACGATATGCTGAACATGGGACTAGAGGAGGATGCGAAGCGCAAGCAGAAGCAGCTGCAGGATGAGTTGGATGAGGCTCGGTCTCGGGCGAGCGAGCTGGCGGCGAAGTTGCAGGTGAGGGAGCGGCCCTGTGGGAGGGAGAGGGAGAGGAGCTGACGGGAGACTGCAGGAGATGACGGGAGAACGAGATGGGCTAGCGAGAGACTTGAAGAGTCTGGAAGGAACGGCGGCTCAGCTGAGAAAGGACCTTGAAGCCTCTTCGAAGGAGTCGGAAGAAACCATCCGTAAGCTCAAGGAGGAGGCAAAAAAAAGCGCGCAACAGGCCCAGGAGGCGATGGCAGAGGCGAGGAAGGAGATCGAGAAGCTGAAGGAGGAGCTGAAGAAGGCGATGGAAGATGGTTCCAAGAGCAAGGAGGGCGACATCAAGGAGATCGAGCAGCTGAAGAAGAAGGTGGAGGAGGCGGAGGCGGAGAAGAAGAAGCTTCAGGCGCGACTTGAGGAGGAGATGAAGAAGGGGGCAGATGAACTGAAGCAGAAGGTGAATGACTTGTTGTGTGTTGGCGAGCCTGACGGTTGATCTCCAGCTTGCGGACAAGGACAAGTTGATTGCAGATAAGGACAAAATTATCGCAGAGAAAGAGGGGAAGATCAAGGAGCTCTCGCAGGTGAGGAGAAGGGGAGGAGGAGGAGTAAGAGGAGGAAGAGAAAGAGGAGAAGGGGAGGAGGAGGAGAAAGAGGAGGAGGAGGAGGATGAGGAGGGAAGTTGCACAGGCCATAATTGATACCCGTGCCAGATGCTGAAAGATGGAGAGAAGTCGCAGGGAGAGCGCGAGAAAGACTTCCAGAAACGATTGACGGAGGCAGAGAAGGAGATGAAGAGCAAGTTGGCGGACAAGGAGAAGGAGCTCAAGTCTCTGGAGGGTCAGGTGTCCAAGTTGCAATCAGAGCTAGAGGCCGCCAGGAAGAGCAGCGAACAAGCTGTGGAGAAGCTCAACAGCGAGATCGCCAAGTTGAAGAGCAGGAGGGACGAGCTGGCGGATCGGCTCAGTGCCGCTGAAGCCGAAGCCAAGGACGGGAAGCAGGGGATGGAGAAGAAGGTGAAGCAGCTAGAGGAGGAGCTCCTCCTCCGGCAGAAGGAGATCGAGCAGCTGCAGGACAAGCTGACTCAGCTGGAGAGAGAGCTGGAGGGGTCGAGGAAGGAGAGCGAGGGCAGGAAGCAGACGATCGTGGAGCTGGAGAAAAAGATGCAGGAGACGTCTGGGGAGATAGCGGAGAAGCTCAAGAAGAGCGAGGCGGAGGTGGAGAAGCTGAGAAAAGAGCTCGCGGAGGTCAAGAAGGCGATGGAGAGCCAGCTGTCTGCCCAGGAGAAGGCCAGCAAGGACTCGACGGAGGCTCTTCGGAGAGAGCTGTACAGCGTGACGGAGGAGAAAGACAAGCTGAAGGCAAGGCTAACGATGATGGAAAAAGAGATGGCCGATAGCACCGTCAATGCAAGCAAGGAGGTGAGAGGAAGAGACCAGGATGATGGGAGAGGAGGAGGAGGAGGAGGAGGAGGAGGAGGAGGAGGAGGAGGAGGAGGAGGAGGAGGAGGAGGAGGAGGCGTGAGATGATGTGACAAGGAGCTGAGTCTTCACCCTGCAGGTCAAGCGGCTGAAGGAGGAGCTGGATGGAATGATCAAGAAGAAGCTTGAGCTGGAGAAAGAGCTCGCCAAGGAGAAGGCGAAGAAAGCTGACGAGCTCAAGGCTAAGCTGGAGGAGGCGACAGCCAAGATCGCAGAGCTGGAGGAGAAGAGGGAACTTCTGGAGTCGCAAATCAGGCAGATGAAGGAGGAGGCGGAGAGAAAGGCGGAGGAAGCAGAGCGGAGGTTTCAGGAGGAGCTGGACAGGAGGATGCAGGAGCTGAAGGAGGAGCTGCTGTCTGCCAGCAGCAAGGATGCACAGAAAGCGCTGCAGGAGCTGAAGGAGAGGCTGGAGAGGAACAGGGAGGAGGCGATTGCTGCGATGAAGCAGCAGCACGAGGAGGAGGCTGAGAGGATCCGAGGGGAGGGGAAGAGTGCGATCACGCGGCTGGAGGAGGAGATGGCGGAGCAGGGGAAGCGATTCGGGGCGGAGAAGGCGAAGATGAAGGAGGAGGCGGAGAAGGAGACGGTGAGGCAGGTGGCGAAGAGGGAGGAGGAGTTGAAGCGGACGTACGACAAGGAGCTCCAGGAGCGAGGAGCTGAGATGGAGGCGCTAAAGGACGCACACCGCAAGGAGACGGAGGAGGGGAAGGCGCGCGCGGCGAAGGAGCTGGAGGAGGAGAAGAAAGGCTCCGCGGAGAAGCTCTTGGCGGAGAGCAAGAGGATGGAGGAGAAGCACAGGCAGGAGATGGAGGAGACGTGCAGCAATCTTAAGAAGGAGCACCAGGACCGCGAACAGAGGAGCTCAGAAGAGCACAGGAGCGCGATGGAAGGGAAGGAAGCTCAGCTCGGGGAGGCGTGGGAGAGGATCCGTACGCAGGATGAATCCCTGTCTGCACTGGAGGAGGAGATTCGGAGGACGAAGAAGACGTTGGCGGAGAGGGAGGAGGAGCTGCAGGCGGAGATAGACAAGGGGAGGAGAGAACTGGCGGAGCAGAGAGCAGCGCTGCTGGCGAAGAGCAAGGAGGAGGTGGACGCGCTTGTGAACGAGCACCTCGAGGAGACGGTTGGGCTGCAGCGAGAGTTCCAGAGTGCGCAGGAGCTGCTGCAGGAGCGGTGCAGGCAGCTGGAGGCGGAGCTGGAGGCGATCACGATGAAGTTCAACAACAGGGCATCCAGGGAGGAGGATCTGGAGAAGATAAGAGAGCTTGAAGATGAGATCGTTCAGCTGGGGAACAAGACCAAGAAGATGGAGGAGGAGATGAAGTTCTACAAGCTGGAGCTGATCAACAGGGAGGAGAATTTCAACCACAAGTTCGGTGGTGGACCTCAGGTGGGAGTGATGGACCCGCTGGCGTGGGGGAAGAAGAAGGATGAGAAGACCAAGCTGCCAGCCCTCAGCAACTCCAACGCGAGGAGGACTGGGTCGTTCGGAAGTCGATGAGGATGAGGAAGAGGAGGAGGGGGGCAGATCAACGGAAGCTAGGATGAGATTTGGTGGTGTATGGTGTTTGATGTGATGTGATGGCTTCCTTGTTGTGGTTATCTTGTCCTCTTTGCCAACTAACCTGGTGAGGTTTCCTTACACCTCGTGTATCTATAGTGATTTCACATGTTTGTTCTGTTGTCATGATGGTACATTTACAGTTTTTGCATCAATACAGCGGACGTTAACATATTCACGAATATCTTTGTGCAACCTTGACTGAATATACTGAGTTGTCATCCGACTATGTGAAAGACAGAGAGGTCTCATTCCATCTCAACGTCGGAAGTTTTCCTGCAAACAGTCAGCGACAGATTTTTATGAATCTCATCTAGAAAAAGAAAACCACAGCAATATCATCATCGTATTCTGTTTCCATCATCATCGTCATCATCATCATCATCATCATCATCATCATCATCATCATCATCATCGGCATCATGAACGGGCATCTCAGCAGAATCTCACCTATGTACCACTCGTGTCTCCCATCACTTATCTTGCCATGCTGACATTTCCAGCTGGAGTCCTCGGCAGCAAACAGATCGCTCGAGGAGAACATGGACTCAACAACCTTCTCTTGTACCTGCATGTTGACTTCTCCCTCCTTTTCATCTTTGACCGTCACGTTCTCCATCATCTTCGTGACGTTCTTGTTGGTTGACAGCAGCTTCGACTTTGTCTTGTTCCCCTTACTTGTTATTTTCTCCCTCAGTTTCGCCTCCCCTCCCCCTTTCTTCTTGCGCGACTCCTCCCTCCTCTTCTTCCGCTCCTCCTCCTCCTTCATTTCTTCTCTCCGCATGCTCCTCCGGAACTCGAACGCTGGCTCACGCGTCCCGTAGCATTCCAGCTCGTCGAGCTTCATGTTGGTTGCGCGAGGGGAAGACTTGGCGAGGCCTCGGCGGAGCAGTGCGGCGTTAGAGGAGAAGGTGCTGGTGGGGTTGCCGATGAAGATGTCTGAGAGAGCCAGGAGAAGCATGTCGATCAAAGGAGCATGTCGGAAGGAGGTGGGAGGAGAGGAGGAATTGGTAGAGGAGGAGGAGGAGGAGGAGGAGGAGGGGAAGAGGAGAGTTGAGAAGAGTCGAGAGCTCCAAGTTTCTTGAGGAGGAGGAGCGAGCAGAAGTTGACTATCCTCGAGGCCTGGTTGATAAATTCCGAGCAAGAAGCGTCGTAGACTTCCTGCACTGGACAAGTCTTGAGCATTGCTTCTACCGAGGCAGTCTCGCAAATGGTTGCGATGTTGAAGAATGCCTTGACGTTGGAGGAGGGGTTGATGAAGTGGAGGGAAGAGGATTGGGAAAAGAGAGAGGAGGAGGAGGAGGAGGAGGTGGTGGTGGTGGAGGTGGAGGTGGAGGAGGAGTTCGACGGGGGCTCTTGAAACATGGTATTGAACTTTTCACAGCATGTTTCACACTTGGTCTGCCTGCTCGTCATGATTAAGAGGATGAACAAAGGAAGAGGAGGACAACGAGCCAAAGCTCAAAGCAACGTATTGGCATAAGAACACAACTTGTGATTGTCTTACCGGCACATGTCGTAAAGAATCGAATCCACAGGAAAGAGAATCGGGTCGTTCGGGTTGTCAACTTCCGAGGCTGAGTGAGAAGAAACAAGGAGCAGAAGAAGGAAAAGAAGAAGGAGAAGTAGCAGGGGAAAGAGCAGGAGCAGGAGCAGGAGCAGGAGCAGGAGCAGGAGCAGGAGCAGGAGCAGGAGCAGAAGAGATGAGGTAGTAGGAAGGAATTGATACAAGAATGTCAAGGGACTTCTCACTTGCTTCAACGATCCGCGCGAGGTCGTGAGCCACGAACAGAACCAACCTCCTGGACACGAGGATGTGCTTGATAGCCGCATGTACTTGTTCTCTCTCCTTCTCCACCTCCTCTGTCCCTGCCTTCATGGCCTGCTCGCACACTCGCGCATACTTGGGAGAGCTGCCAGGTCCGTCAAGACCTTCAGCATGAGGGAACGACAAGATACCAGACTGTCTCCAGATCGCAGTCTTCCATGATGGCCGTGAGGAGCGACTTGAGAACGTATCCGGGGGACATGAGGCAGTAACGCGCGTCTGAAGAGCAAGAGACAGCATCTTAGCAGGAAGAGACAACAACTGTGACTTGCTTGCCTCTGTTGCTGCTCTCAGCTGAAAACAGATTTGCTCGCTGCTGACAGGTTCCATCCATGCTCCTCCTGTCCGTTCATTAACACAGTCAGACCCTCGAGCAGATTCTTCATCATTTCGCGAATTGCAGTTGCTTCAATCATCATCATCTCTATCATCTCTATCATCATCATCGATATCATCATCACCACCACCAACACCAACACCAACACCAACACCAAATGCAGCAGCAGCAGCAGAAGCAGCAGCAGCAGCAGCAACAATACACATAAACATCTTAGATATCATCATCAACAACAACAAAAACAACGTTTCCATAGTCATCATCGTCGTCAAGTCTGATTGATATAATCATACAGATGTACGGCCACGTATCCGTTCCCTCGCTTGTAGATGTTGTTAAGGATCAAGTCAACTTTCTGCAACAGCGGCATCAGCCAACAACACCTCCAGCACAATCGAGATACCTCGCAGATCTGTTTGTTGGACCTGAGAAGGAGGTGTTGTATCATCTTTGGAGAGAAACCTGGTGGTCCAACAAGTCGGAACATGTCCTGCCCAGCATGCAGTCCTGCTCGGGACGAGGAGAGGTCCGTCAGAGAGAGAAGAGCGAGCGAGAGAGCAGGAGTGGTCCTCAGCTATGGCTAGCGGGGAACAGGCAAGCGAGGAGAAGGCAGTGTCGACAACAAACAACAAGTGTCGACAACAAACAACAAGAGTTCTGGCAGATCTTAAAGATTGAGAACCGAGCTCAACTGAGTGTGCAAGACACATGAAGATATCAAACACAGACTTTCACCTGTGCTGACAACAACTTTGCCCTCAGCTCCGTTAGGAACGACAGCCCTTGTTCCTCTTTGTGTTGAGATGAATGCAGAAACGTTGTTGAGCGACATGCCGATATCGTACATGACACAGAAGAACTTCTGAAGCTCTTGAATGCGGAAAACATCTTCAACCAAAGCCGACGCAGCTGGTGGGAGCAAATCAATGTCAAATTTTCTCCACCATCATTCGTCTCCAATGCCATCATCATCATCTCCATCACGAGCGGCAGCAGCTGATGCTTCTACATTGTGGTGATCATTATTGTCGTCGTCGTTGGACGACATCTCCATCATTTCCATCATCATCATCAGTTTTATCGTCTTCATAATCTCCATCATTATGATCACTATCATCGATCTGAACTGATAGCACACCGGGAGAGAGGATGAGCGTGAGATTGTTTGATCGCGAGACTTGCAGAGCATTCATCAAGGCAATAATCTGCCTTCAACATGTCAGAATCTGAAACACAACCATGTTTCATTGAGTTTCCTGGTTGTTTGTTTGTGCTCCATTCCAGTCAACATACGTCAAGTACCTTGTGGGGCAAGTGGTTGGTCTCTTCTGTTCCAGACTAGATTAGACGCATGAACAGACAAGGAACCGTCATAGTAAACATCATCAACCCAATCATCATCTACTATCGCGTACCACTTCCATCAACACATCCACCACATGTCTCTTTGTGTGCAAACTGCTCTCAACATCTCCATCGTCGTCTCCACAGATTCTGATCTCAGTATCCTTGTCCTCTCGTTCTCACCTCCAGCACAGCCAGGGGCAGGGAACAAACTTTTCCTGCCACCCTCTTGGGCTTCCAATGCCTGCAATGGGTTGAACTGATCCGCTGACTCCTCACCTTGATAGACCTGCAGGATAGCCAGCACAGGATCAGGACGAGCGAGAGAGGGGGCAAGGGAGCAGGGAGAGAGAGAGGAAGGGAGGGACAGGAAGGTAGAAAAGGAGAAGAGAGAAGGAGAAGAGTGATGGAGATCGGGGGTCAAAGAATCTCAGCAGTGAGAATTTTCACAACAGTGGAGGGCAGCACGGGAGGCAGCGAGATTGCAAGAACGGGGAGAGGGAGGACGCGGTGCTGGAGGGGAGAGTGAGGCTACGGTTGGAAGCTGTTTCTTAGCCACGAGTGCCAGACGAAGATGAAGAAGAGAGTGAAGATGCACAACAAGAAGACGGCAACTTGTTTCTGCATGCTACAGGCACCCCATCGCTTCCAGAGCAAGTCAGGCCGTCCTTCTCCTCCACGCCAATCCCTCACCGTGCAGCCTTGACCTTCGATCCTATGAAGTCCTCGACCTCTCGGAGCGAAGCGGAGGTTGCGGAGCCGAAGAATGGTTGCAAGATAGCGACGGGGTGACGACAATCAGGATTCCTGCCCAGTCCGTATGCTCGCCACTCTATCGCTAACAGGTCTTGACATGCATCTTGTACTCCTTCAATTCTCCTTCCCTGAATGCACCTCCCAGTTAAAACAATCCCAGTCTGCATCACATCTCTCCTTCTAGACCCAATCACTGAGTCATTACTCCGCCATGTCCTCGTTTCCAATACATTTCACTCCTGTCTTCCTCCCGTCTCCATCCCATCTTCCTCCTCTCCTCCCCTCCTCCTCCTCTCCTTCCCCCCTCTCCTCCTCCTCCTCTCCTTCGCAACTCCTCTCCTCTGCCCCTCCTCCTTCCCTCCTCTCCTTCGCAACTCCTCTCCTCTCCTCCTCCTCCTCCCCTCCTCTCCTTCGCAACTCCTCTCCTCTCCTCCTCCTCCTCCCCTCCTCTCCTTCGCAACTCCTCTCCTCTCCTCGTCCTCCTCCCCTCACCTCCTTCGCAACTCCTCACCTCCTTCTCACCTCCTCTCCTCCCCTACTCATCTCGTACTCCTCCCTTCCCTTCTCTCGTCCTATCTCACGTCCCCCCTCCTCCGCTGCTCGTTCCGAGCCTCATTGCGGCAATGTCGGATCAACTTACCCAAGTCCGCCTCAATAAAATATAATTATGATATCAGCGATCATCGGATACCGTACTGACTCAGTCGCGAGGGACAGCCGTGACCCGGCGACTGGCATGATAGCAAGACCGTGCCGCCTCAACTTCCGCCGGTCCGACTCAGTCATCGGGTGCCACACCGGACGGTTAGTGGCCGGGCGGTCACTGCCAGGCTGTCCGGACGGTTCACTGATTTGCGGCACGGTACCGGTACGACTATGATGGGCCCGGCGCACCCGGGCCCGGCGGGTAGCCTAGTACGGTCACTGGCGGCCGGGCGGCCGGGCTTGGCCCACTGGGTTTGCCGGCGGCCGCTGAGCTGAACTTACGGTCCGTCACGTGCCACCGCCGGCCCGTACGGTCACATCTGCCAGGCTAGCGGCAAAGCTCGGAACCGTGAACTGAACTAAACTGATTTTTCACTTAACTTTGAGTAAAGTGAAACCGCCCCGCCGGCGAGGATGGCGGGCCATCCGATCGGACTACTCGGGAGTACGGTAGGCTAGACTCTGTCCGGCGTCACGGTGATCGGGCGGTGACCGTACTGACTAGCCTGGCACGTCACCGTCACGTGACCGGCGCCGTGAGGCCCGCCGACTGAGTCAATTGCCGTCGGACGACGCGGCGTGTGAGCAAAACTTTCAAAACTGTCTTGTTACAACGTGACTAAGGTCGATGACGGTGATATCTGCGTGGAGCGGCATAGTACAAGTCTCAGGTCACAAACTTGTGCTCCGGCGGCGTCACTCGGCCCGGTGCCACGAGGTGATCCGACGGACGGTGCCAGTGGCGGCGGGTCCGATCCGGGGTCCCGGCCACGGCTGCCACTACGGTATTCAAGATTCAAGATTCTGGACTCTCATTATGATTCCGGGCCCGGCCGCCGCCGAAGTTACCGCCGGGACGCCCCTTGGGTGTAACGTACCTGGTAACTTAGTAACGTAGAGGTGGCGTAGGGAAACAGAATGACGATGCCAGCCAGCAGCAGTAGTGATGCTGCTGATCTGATGAGTGTGTGTGCTTAATCAACAGTGATCCTAAGATCATCTGAGCTCAAGGTCTTACGCAAGGTTGTGTATACATCACATGGTAGCGAATTGGTTCACATTCGAGCTTTGATTCAGAATCTCAAACGATTCCAAGAATGATTTCAGCAAAGAAAGCAAGCAAACTGTTGAAAGTGAAAAGATCGCGTAAGGCTCAGACCAGTGAACGAAGGATTCAGAGATCTACGGAACAAGTTGCTGATCCAACCACAATCCACCCAAATGTTGGAGCTGAACAATTTCAATTTCCCCGTCTCTTTTCCGTAACGAGAGATGATGATTCTATTATGCAAGATCGACCACAGGAGGATTCCCATCCAGCTTCTGGTGCTCGCCCATTCTTTGTTACGCCTGTACCAGCACCGTCTGTCTTAGCCAGGGAGTCTCCAGCTCCGCATTCTTTCCGCAACTTCACGTCAGCCTCTGGAGCATGTTCTCCGAACACCCCTGCCGCAGGGGTGTTCGGATGGGCTGAGCCCATCTCTGCGATGTCTTCGGGTCGGAACTCTCCTGCCGCCAGCGACAAAGAACCATCTCTTAGTCAACTTTTTGCTTTACTCCTGCAACAGAATGCAGATGCCCGCAAGGATGCCCAGAAGCGTCAGGAAGAACTTGAACGCAAGCTGGATCGTCAATTTGAGCAATCTCAGGAATTCAATTATCGTCTACTTGCTCAATCATATGAACTTCAAGAACGCCTGGTTTCCGCCCTTTCTACCTCAGTTTCAGCAATCCAGCGCTTGAAGCCCCTCCCTGCCCCGTCCAGCGCGCAACCGTCTCTGCGCTTGACGAGTTCTCCTTCCCCTCCCAGCCCTCGGCTGTTGCAGATGCTTGCCCTCCCGGTTGAGTCAGACCCTTCGTCGATTCCCAAAGCTCCGCCTCCGACTTCTCTCTTACCAGAGAAACTGATGACTCCGTTGCCAGGTATTCGTGCTTCTTACACGCAGCAGAACCCCTCTCGTGACGCGTGCATGTCGCGGATTCCTCAGCCCACGCCCGTCAGTCCCTCCCAGCCTTTCAATGGTGACAAACTCCCGAAGTTTCAGCCCAGAACCTCCATCACCCCCTTTCTTGGTCAGGCTGATTCTCGAAGCATTCACAGCTGGCTCTCTCAGATGGGACGTGCTCTGTCTGTCCATCGAATCCCCGGCAACCTCTGGGTTCACTACACGACGACCTTTCTTGACGACGCTGTTCTTCGACGCATGTCTCACGATCGTCCTCTTGACGAATTGTCCCTTCTTCCCTGGCCGGAATTCTGCCTTTTCATCACGCAGCAATTTCCTCCCGCGGCTCACATCGCCAAGCTCCAGCAACAAGTAACCAATCTTTGTCAAGGCGTGAACGAATCGATTACTGATTATACTCTTCGGACGCAACGCTATGTTGACGAGCTTTTACTCTACAAATGTGAGGCTGTCGTCTTTCAAGAGCACAATCTTCTTCAACAATTCGCCAATGGTTTTCGTGACCCTGATCTCCGACTTGTGATGGTCCCCATTGCGCACATGCATCCTGCTACCGCTGCCACGATGTCGCTTTTAGCACAGAAAGCTTTCACCTTCGTCAAACCGTCTTCTTTCGTTCCGGCTCCGCAGCCTCTTTGTGCCCTTCAACCCTCTCCGTCGACGCCAGGAGCTCAGCCCTCCCGCGCTCCCGCGCAGTCCTCCGGTTCTTCCCCGAATTACTTCTGCACGTACTGCAAACGTTCTGGACGCACGTTGAAGTACTGCCGCAAGGAAAAGCAAGCTCATCGAAATGCTTCTTCCTCAGTGACACAGACCTCCCAACCTCCAGCGAGTCAAGCCGCCATCGCAAATGCCATTACGGCTCTGCGAAGTTGTATTCTGGACTCGTACCGGACGCCCCTTGGGCGTAGTGTTGTGAAACAGAACGACGATGCCAGATAGCTGCAGTGATGCTGCTGATCTGATGAGTGTGTGTAACTTATGAACAGTGATCCTAAGATCATCTGAGCTCAAGGTCTTACGCAAGGTTGTGTATACAACATTTACTGTCCCCTGTCGTTCATGATACGAATGAAGTTTTCGCATATCAGCATACAAACATACATACATACACATATGTATATCAGCATCTCCTTCACAACTATTCTAATCTACAGTTGCGTTTGTGGTTCAAACACCATATCACATGCGAAACAAGTGAGGTATCTTGTTGTATTGGCATCACTTCAGATCTGATCCGGGGTGATGCAGCAGGTACACAAGCCAATCGGATGCAGCAGGTACACAAGCCAAAATAGCAATGATATTGAATATAAGTTCATACCAGGAGACCCGCACAATGTAAAAAGGAGCGCAAAGCGCATCATTATGTTCATGATGAGCTGAAATGGTGATCATCTCATACTCATATGTATTAGTCTTATACAACCCTACGAGTCCTCAGATGTCACCTGATCGTCAGTTTTCTTTAGTCATTTTGAAGCAGACACATCCGATAACAATCAAGCTGTTATCGTACAGACAGAAACAAGAGGGAAATAGATTCTGTAACGGTTCTTGTCATCACAAACGTACAAAACAGGACCAAGAACCCCAAGAGAATGGCGCCATCCTACCAACCCAACTATGACATCCTCCTTCTCGTCACGAAACCAGTATTCACAGCTCCTCATCACAGTTTTCTCAGAAAAACATGCAGCAAACCCTCAGATTATCCTCTCCTTTGGATTATTTGTTTTCTCGCTTCCAGGAGACTGTTGTTGTAAAAGTATGGGTACAAGGATCATCTAGAAACCAAGATGGAAGATGATTTCTCTCTTGATTCTTGTAGACTAGCAAATCAAACGCTTCTACCGACCATGAGCCAGAAGCAAACACACTAGACTCACGCTGATCGTATCTTCTGCCTTGTACATGAACTTACTGAGACCAAGGGTGCTTGCTCCAACGACACTCGCAATGGTTCCACAAGGCTCTTGCCACCTGGTCCACTCTGCTGGTCCCTCCTCTCCTTCCAACCCATCTTACATGCCTCTTATCTCTTCTCGTGTCTCATCCCCCAGGAGGGCATCCCGTCTCCCCTCGTCCGCCCCTGCACAGAGTCTGCGGGAAGTGAATGCGAGTGGGTGAAACTGAAACAATGACGATCCAAAAAAAAATAAAAAAAAGATTGAGGAACAGCCGAAAAAAAAAACTCCAAGTTTATGACTTATAAAATGTATTAAACACAATAACAGATATTGAGAGCGGTCACGGCATGAATCACCCCCTTGGGAGGGATAGGGGTGGTATCAGTAGCGTCACGGCGTGGAGGTACATGCTTTGCACTGTTAGGGAAACCACAAGACCCTTACTACCGGCACACTCCATCAGGGAGGGGTCTTTGATCTGATTTTTAAGGAGGTAGGGGTGGGGGTAGTGATTGCCTTGAGACTCTTACCACGAGCCGTGCGGGACGCTTCAGGGTCGTTAAAAAAAACAAAAAAAGTTCCTTACAGAGGACGGAGAAATTCGAGGGTGGGGTGGTGACAATTCTGAAGAAGCCCACGTGGTTAGCCTGATTTGAGGGGTGGAGGGTGGTCAAAAAAACTCCAATGGGTAGGTGGTTGATATTCATCGAAGACGTTGACGCAATCAGAGAAATTATTGTACCCCACCCCTCTATACCTAATCACGTCATAGGTAGAGAGGGGTTGATTTACGGAGGTAGCTGACTGGCAGCTGCCGTGACCAGCCATAGCTGACATTGTGCTGCGCCGTGACCTAGACAAGATATTACACCACTGTCGCTACCCTGGCACTTTTACACACCCCCAATTCCCATAGTGAAAAGGAGTCAGAAGGGTGGGTGGTCCTCTGCAATGCTTGACCGCAACCAAAGGAGCGTTTCCTGAATACCCCCCATTTTCAGCTTGATGAGGGAGTGATAGAAAGGGTGGGTGATGATGCATTCAACACACGCCGTGACCGACCAGTTGATTTTTTCACGATGGGTTCCGAGGGGAACATGCGTGCGAAAAGCGCTTCCTAAGTACTGGGCGTTGTTGATTAGTGGGATCCAATAAATATTTGCACTCTACCCCCCCTGTGACGCTAGCCGCTGGCGAGCGAAGGAGGCATCAAACTACCCCTTTCTTGAGATTTACCCCTATCTCCCAGTGAGAATATGCGCCTTTGAGGGTCTAAAGAGGGGGTTCCTTCTCTGCTGCTTTACTGGAGATAAGGGGGGTGGGGGGTGATCATGAGCTGGTTGTGCCTCTCCATCACGGCTCCCCGGTAGGACCCACCCCTGGATTCGGATGCCTTCCAGATAAAAACCCTACCCCTGATTTAAAGAAAAAGTACCCAACCTCTACGTACCATGAACGCACGACCCCAGCGTCGTACTGGTCCGAGCCACCTATCACCCTACCCACCCACCTTAAACACTTATCGATTCCGCAGATTATGCATCCTAGTACTACCCTCTAATTTACCCAAGAGTACCCCTACATTTTGCTCTTGAAAGGTACCTCTACCCCTGTGTCCTACAAACTTGCCGAACAACCTTCCGAGACTACCCGCACATTTCTTACTACCTTCATTACTACCCACCTGTAGAGGTTAGACCAGAACCCACCCTTAACATTTCCCAACATAGAATCACCCCACCCCTCCAGCGATCCACCACCCCCCTGTCAATCCTATCTTGAGATCCGAGGCCAATCCTGGACTACCCCACCCCTCTGATATACTCAAAATCACCCCCGTTGGATACTTCTGACTGTTCCCGTGACAGTGACCAATGCCACCCCACCCCCTGCATTTTCACTCCGCCTCCACTATCATCCCTCTCCGTCGCATCCTCCTTCCCCCAGCTCCTTTTCCGGCCCTTTGAGAGGACGCCAACCTCTGTATCTCCCCTATCTCCACCCTCTGATTCTGACTGCTCCTCAGTCGCGATCCTATCCTTAGCTCCCTTCAAGATCCTCTGTAATGCTTCGTAGCGTGATCCCACTTGTATTTGTCTCAGCTCATCCTCTTTGCTAGATGCCCTTCTGTCCTCGTGCGCCACTCGCCCCAACGTGACCATTCGGGTCGATGTTAGATTCATTCGCATGGTTTCTTTGCCCTTCATCACACACTTCAATTCATGCCAGCCATGATGCACCGAATTAGTCCTTTTCGTGCTCTAGACCCTTTCGCGCCAGTCGTAGCTCGTGCCAACGTTTCAGATCAAGGGGTATTGCGTTGCTGGAGTAGGACCAGCATTCAACCCATCTGTTCTCCCGCCCCATGAAGAAGTTTCTGACTCTTACATGCATGCTTCGATGGGAAATGACTGATTTTGTTGTGCAGATGAATGCTAGCTTGAATCCTGCTGTGCTTCAAGGGAATCACTTGACGCAGAATCGCGAGTGTTTCGAAATAGGCCAAACTCAATGCCCCTCCTCTCTTCCTTTTGGTTTTCCCGACCATCACCAATGCTTGACTCTTGGCAAGCCCGATGACTCTATGGGTTTCATTGACTGGTCTAAGAAACGCTTCACAATCGTGAATAGCATGGAAAACGCGATCACAGATCATCTGAAGTCCAATCGAGCGTCGATGCCAGAAACACGACAATCCTCTTGCTGCTATGATATGACGGCTGAGTGCATCTTGAAGATGAAAGAGGTGGATGCGAACTTGGCTCTGGAAAGACTCGTGCAAGAAAAGCTTGGCATAGAAATGAAGCAAAATGCTCGAAACCGGATTATGGACCTCATGAAATTATTGCACGTTCTTGAGCAACACGGGATCGTCCGCTTGATCAGAAGCGTGGATGATGAGCAGAGCATCCTGGGGTTCAGTGAGATGCAGGTCAAGGATCTCAACGAGTTCAACCAGGCGATCAGGAACATGGTTGCCTACGATGAGAACAGATGCTGGCTGGTCAACGGAAGAAAGGACATTAAGGAGCCCACAGGGCCTGTTTATGAGCTCCTGCGACAGATTGGCGTCAAGGTAAGCTTCTCTTCCTACTTCTCCTCAGCTTGTTCGACACCGTGAACTTCGCCCCATTCTCATCCACGATTTCCGGGAATCTGACGAAGCCCCTTAACAGCCGATGAAGGGGACACGGGGACCAAGGAACGGAGATCCTGGGAAGAGGGACTTTATGTACTCTTACAGGTGCAGCAGTTGGCCTGTGTGAAGGTTGCTTGTGTAATCTTTGAATGCTCAGGTACATCTACGACAAGGATTCGATGAAGAAGAATTGCAACAGGCTAAGGAAGGGATACATCGGAAGAGGTCATCCTGCAGCACGTCCTCTGTTCGTTTTTGACGATGAGTTTAACAGCGCTGGGCGAAGATCAGGACATGGCGATGCAAGAAGATGACTGATGATGAAACGCTCTAAAGCTGCATGCTCATCTTTCGCAACAGACAGCACAGGAATTGTTGGCCTTTTCTTTACCAAGTATTTCTAGAACAACTGCATTGTGCTTTATGAACGAATGAAGTTGTGTGTACTATTAACGACACTGTTGTATACTTGCACTACATTCAACGGAAACAGGTATTGCTGAGGAATTATATCAAACGACGATGTTCATCTCAAAAGTAAATAATTCTTTGACCGCTGTCTTCTGCTGCTCAGATATCTGCAGCATCAAAGAGTCTTCATTTCACGCACTCTGTTCCTACCTCTCTCTACCTCTTGAACTTGCATGCTCCATCTCTTCTGCTCTCCAAGAAAGATCTACCCTCCAATCCATTATGTTTTATCCATCTCCTTCTCAATTGTCGTTATAATCCTTCATTGAACAGCCTCTCTGTCATCAACATCTTCTATGTTCACATCATACCACCTGTCTCATCCTATTCACTTGAAACTCATGCGTTTAAACTCTCTAAATCCGAACTTCCAGTCATCTTCGACTTCCGTTCTCCGCATGCATTCGTGACTTCCATGCCATCATTATCCCTCCCTCATCTCCCTGCTCGCATCAACTTTCGCTCTTACAGCCAAAGTTCTCCCTCTCTCCTCAGCTCTTCCCTTAACTGGCACTTTGGTACTTCCACCACAACGCCGTTGTGGCTGTCTTCTCCTGTTTCATTTCGTGTCTGCTATTCACTGTGTTCTGCCTGTCCAACCATATTCCCGACAAGTTTCAAACCTTGCTCTTTCTTACACTCATTTCCTTGCTCTTTCATACACTCATCCCTGTTTCTCTTCTTTGTTTCTGCTCTATTTCCTCCAATGTTTGCTTCCATCGTCTTTTTTCTTCACTTCCTCCCCGTCGCCTCGCCTCACCTCGCCTCGATCCGCTAGTTAATCCTATTCCCCTCCGCTTCTCTCCGCTTCTCTCCTCTCCACACCTCTCCTCTCCATACCTCTCCTCTCTGTGTACCTCTCCCTGCGCTCAACTCCTTCATTCTCCGTTTCTTTCTTTTGCTCTGCTCTGCTCTGCTCTGCTCTGCTCTGCTCTGCTCTGCTCTGCTCTGCTCTGCTCTGCTCTGCTCTGCTCTGCTCTGCTCTGCTCTGCTCTGCTGCTCTTATCCTGCCCTGCCCTGCCCTGCCCTGCCCTGCCCTGCCCTGCCCTGCCCTGCCCTGTCCTGTCCTGCCCTGTCCTGTCCTGCCCTGTCCTGTCCTGTCCCCTCTGCTCTCAATTTCTCACGTTCTCTTCGCTTCATATCTCCTCGCTCTCTGCTCTCATTTCCAAAATCCTCGTATTGCGTCTAGAACAGTTGCACGACCCCTGCTGGATACAACAGGGTCCGTGGGTTTCAGGGGTGGGGTAGGGTAGGGAGGGCTAGGTGAAGTACCAAAATTTATATGCGAGCGGATGCTCGGGGCGGGGAAGGAGGATGGAGAGGAGGGGCGGGGAAGGATAGGAAGAAACACGCGGAGAAGGAGAGCTGGCTGTAGAAGGGAGGGAGGGAGGAAGGAAGGATAGAGGAGGGAGAAAGAGAGCGATAGAGTGATGTTGAGACTGGTTGAGGGCTGAAGCCACGGCTGGCCTGAGGGAGCGTGGAGGGAAGGAGGGAGGGAAGGAGGAAAAAGAGGAAAAGGAGGAAGGGTAGGCGTAGGCGTAGGCGTAGGCGTAGGGGTAGGGGGGTAGTGGGGGGGGGTTGGAGAGGAAGCAGCAGCAGCAGCAGCAGCAGCAGCAGCAGCAGTAGGAGTAGGAGCAGGAGCAGGAGCAGGAGCAGGAGCAGGAGCAGCAGCAGCAGCGGCAGCAGCAGGAGGGGAAATGGAACATTGTGTCGAGGGATAGCGGATAGCAGGCGAAAGGCGGTGGGTTGTGGCGGCAAGCAGGGATAAAGAAAGAGAAGTACAAGTAGGGAGACTGGAGTGAATTGAATGGTTGTGCGAGACATGCGAGATAGAGACAGGAATATGATATGGTTGATGAAGAGCAGGAGGGACGGGGACTGGGTTGGAAGTCATGGGAGTATAGAGAGACTGAAGGAAAGGAGGTATGATGTTGCTGCTAGTTGGAGGAAACAAATTGGGAGCAAGGGAACGAGAAAGATAGACACTGGGTTATCTCCAAAGATACATCAGCAACAAGTATGTTGCGGAGTTTGACATTTTTGAGGGAACAACTTTCTTGGGGTAATAACAAGCGTTCTCTTCTCACCCTCTTTCCTCTGCAGACATGAGGTGGGGGATGAAATGCTTTCTCCTCATGTGCCTGCTGCTGGCTGTGCACAGCTACAGTAAGGACGAGGAAGATGAAGGGCTGGAAGAGGTGATAGCTTGTGCATTGTAATGAAGCTGATATTGATGTTCGCAGGTTTTCAAGGGGGCTGGACAAGACATCCTGGAAACCATCTCAACTAGCAAGCATCCCCTGAGGGAGCTGCAAGTCAAGTACGGGGAGTCTACCAAGATGCTCCTGTCAGGTCAAGGGATCTGGGGAGGAAGGAGATTCTTTTCTTGACATGTGGGTGTGTTGATCAGGGGGAGTTGTCGGATACCTTGTGGGAAAGATTGTCAGGTCTTTAGCAATCAGCGTCGTCAAGGTGAGCAAGAGGGCGTGAGGTCTGGAAGGAAGTAAGACAGTGAGATCAGATGTTGATCCTCAGCAGCCTTAGCTTCTTTGCTGCTGTGTTCTTCGGCTATGCAGGGCTGGACTACGATGAGGTGAGCCCGTCTCCTGCCCGCCTGGTCCCCCAGCTGAGGTGTTGGGCTCTGTTGAGGTGATCGAGAGGATGACGCATAACCGAGACAAGTTCCGGGGGATGGCGAAGCGGGTGAGGAAGAGGACGGGGGGATGGGGAGAGGAACGATGGAGTCACATGCCACGCTCATGTCAGATGTTGGATGTCAATCAGGACGGCAGCATTGATGCAAAGGATGCTAAGGTGCCGCTTCTTCATCCTTTTTCCTCATCTCTCCTCCTCCTTGTCTCTCCCGGAGTCCTCTGCACGCTCAGTCTCAATCCTCCATCATACCCTCGAACTCGCCTTCGTCTTTCTCTTCTCTCCCCCCCCTCGTTTGTTTGTACCTTCATCTGATCGACTGCTCGCAGGAAGTGTGGAAGAGGATCGAGCGAGTGATATTGCGAACAAACGTGAGGAAGGACGGAGGAGGGGAGTGAGGGGAAGGAATCTGGTTTGGGGAGGTTGAGCGAATGGGGAGGGGGGGGGGGAGAGTAGAAGACGATATAGGGCAAGGTGAGAGTATGAAGGAGGAGGTATCGATAGGAAGAAGGAAGTATCAATGCTACACAGGAGAGCAAGGACAAAATTGAAATGGTAGCAGAGAGAGCAGTGGTGGAACCTGTTTGAGAGAGATGCTATGGTGAGAAGTGAAAGTCAGTATGCGAAGAGCGTCAAATGAACAAGAGGAGGGTGAGGAGAATGCGATCAATCTGACAGCTTTCAAGGTCCCGCTGTCATGTGGAGGAATACTGGGAGGTCTTTTTGCTCTTTTTCTCTAACGTCTCTTCCATCCTTTCCTTTTGCAAGCTGTGGATAAATGTTCTCTCTAAATCATTTGCTTGATTGTCGTCAGATAGAGCCGATACACGCACCATTGACACTTTATTTCAACCCTCCTTCCTTACTTCTTTTCGAGCCTAAGTTTCAACTGTTTTCCTCCACAAACTCTCAGCCCGAACATGCAAGGAATCCTTCTTCCTCTCCAGCATCTTTGTCACTCGAAACAAAACTCTCAAAGAATAACATAAGGAACAAGCTCTGTGATGCCTGCCGGCGAACAAGCCAGAGACTGTATCACTGCTGTTTGCGATTGATAGGAACGAGGCGGGACCGCAGAAGAGTTTCAATCTGGAGATGCGAGGTAAGACACGATAACAAGTGAATCTTCATAGACAAGGACGATACAAACCTGACTTTGGTTGAGAGGAGGGCTCTTGAGCTGTACAAAACGGTTGGCCAGGACCTGTGGACCAACAACTTCAGTTTCAGTGCTGATCAATCAAGATGCCGATGCGTGAAAAAGGGGACAGAGGGAATGCCATTCACATGGCAGGAAGAGCTGAAAGTGGAGGACGATGAGAACAATCAGCTGTTCGTCACCTTGTACTGCCTGAAGATGACGAGCATCCCAACAGCCATGAAATCCAAACCCGAGAAGACCTGATGGCAAATCAAGACGCTGCTGCAGCGGGAGAAGGCAAGATTACAACTGCATCCTCTTGAACGTACTTGTCGATGTTCTTCATGAACGACTCAGGAAGCTGCAGCAGCAACAGCACAGAGTGAGGGGCGGAGCATGCAACCGCGATCGACGTGCTCTGACCTCACTCCAGTGACGGCGGGACTGTACATGGTGCTCCAGGTGATAGCCGTCGTTGAAGGTCTTCTGGTTCAGAGGTGTGTTGATGATGTTGTAAGTGAGGTGATAGTTGCAGTCAGGCTTCTTGGGATCCACGAAGATGTGCTGTGACCAGTTTCCAAACACTGCCACCATCACAATCACACTCAACGTGAAGCAACAAGATTCGCCATCTTACTCAGGAGCAGCGAGCATACAAATGTCGGCAGGAGGAACACCCAGAATGTGGCGATGCTGTTCGCCTGATACAGGAAGTACATCGCGGTCATGAATCCAAGCACGCAGCATGCTCCGTACACGGCCAGCTCCTTTCTTCCTCTCCTCCACGCATAGTATGGCAACTCGAACCAGATTGCGAAAAGAAATCTCATCCAGTAGTGCAGAAAGTGCAGAAAGTTGTCTCTCTGGTATGGTTCAGTGGAGCTGACGTCCCAGGGGAAGACGTTGTTCTCAACATGGTGCATGATGCAATGATGAATGAAGTAGATGCCGCTGGGAATGCCAAAGAACGGGGAGAGCACGTACGGCGCCCAGCCGTTGAGCCATGGCGAGCGGAACAGACTGCGATGCGATGCAAAGTGCAGGCCAAGTGTGAATCGCTCCTGGAAGGTGAAGAGGTTGATGAGGAAGTAGATGGCTCCTGCCATGTTGGTCCCAAGATAAAACACCAGAGCAGCCCCTGGGAGCGTCAGGCATGTGATGTTGAAGAAGAGGTAGATTAGAGGCATGTCCCGCTCATCCTTGCAGGACCTCCTGAAGAAGTTGTCTATGAACTTGGGGGGATAGAAATAGAACTCGTTCCTCTTGGCTGTGATGTCCGTGTTCACCAGCCCGCCAGTCTGAGACATGGTCCTGTGTAGCTGCTGAAGCCTCAGGAAAACTGAAGGAAGCGCTTCCAGGCAGCTCGTTGATCAGAAGTGAAGGAATGAGGAGAAACTACGTCTGCACAATCGGTGAGTAAGAGAGATAACGGAGCAGGAAGGCAGGATCGGGACCATGAGCATGAGCAGTGCGCTGCACAAGCAGCTGTCGGAGAATCAGGGATGGAGCAGGGGAAGTTGGAGAAGTAGCAGGAGAAGGATCAACAGAAGGTGCGTATAGTTCAGAAGGAGGAGCAAGATGTGGTGGTGGTGGTGGTGGAGGAGGAGGTGGTGGTGGTGGAGTGGTATCAGCGCATGCCTCGCTTACGTGGTTACTGGTTCAAGCCCTGCATGGCGCCTAATAACTTTGACAGGGTTTAACCCTCAGGGTGGGGGTATCTTCATATGGGTACGGGGTACATGCATTGTGCCATTTTCAATGTCAAAAAGGGGTGATTACCGCTGAAATGAAGGGGTACATTTTCAATATCGCAATTCAATGGTGGGTGGGGTACACTTTTATTGGGGTTAGCTGATGGGGGTGCTGTGGGACATAGAGGAGCGCCACGAAATGAGATCGTTGGTGGTTAGAAAAGGGTGGGTACTCATGGGGAATGCAGGGGGTACATGAGACTTTCCTCAAGTCCGCCTCAGCTCCTGCTATCCACAGATTGAAAGATTTCAAATACAATTTGTGTTTTTGAAGTTTTGAGAAGTAATTGATTGCAATTTTAGCTCATGGTTTTTGAAATTTTTGGATCATTTACACTAGCAACACCGGGGATATCAACTAGCAGTCATCTCATCCATTAATGGCGGGGCGCATCACGGTCATGCTGGCAGCGATGGCGGCAGGGGCGAAGGGAGAAGGAACAATGCTGATGAGAACATGTAAGATGATGAAGATATGCTGCTGTGCCATGTTGCTGCTTCTCTTCCCCTCTCTTCTCTTGCCTTCTCCAACTTTTCCAATCCTTTCTCTGTATCTGCATCCCCATCACAATCTTCATTCACTTTCCCCAACATGTCTCTGTAACATTGCTATGTCAGTGACGAGATTTCATTGTGTGAAATGTTCTTGGCTAACACTCTAGTCTGCAGCGCCGAGTTTTCTCTTGTTTGCCTCACCGACCAGTCGTTTCATTCTGAATTCAGAAGGCTTCCTGTTACAAGGCAAGAGTTGCTCTCTCGTCTCTCGGAGCTCGATCAAGGTAACGACTTGGATCTTTCATCGTTTGCTCATCTGCGACAGAACAGCAACTGATGCGATGTTTTCAGCACTTCTCAACAACCTCCAATCAAATGTCTTCCTTCGGCAAGCCGACCAACCCACACTCTCTGCGCTTTGCTCGGAGCTTGCGCCGCGGTATGAGCGCATCTGATGGGGCAGAGCGGATCACCCAGAACAAGGCAGTGGGAGGAGGGAGTTCAGAGGCAGACGGAAAGAGCAAGCTCGAGCAGATCAGGGAACAGTTGGAGTTCTACTTCAGCGACTCCAATCTTCCGCGAGATACCTTCCTGATGAACAAGATCTCCGAGGACCCGCAGGGGTGGGTCTCGCTTGGGCTGATCGCAAAGTTCAAGAGGTTGTCAATGATGGGAGCGACGACGTCGATGATGATCGATAGTGTGAGGGACTCTAAGACGGTGGAGGTGAACGCGGAAGGAACAATGATACGGAGGACTTCTCCGATACCGACACAAGACAAGACCCTTGACAAGAGTGTTGTTGTTGGTCTTCTGCCTGAGAGCTCGACTCTGCAGCAGCTGCAGAAGTTCTTCTCGAAGTACGGCAAGGTGAGAGGATGGGGGAAGTTGCGAACGCGGCTGATTGGAGGCTCTGTGGGTAAAGGTGCTGAGTGTGCGGATGGAACGAGCGAAACATGGAGTTTTTGATGGGATTGCATGCATTGAGTTTGAAAGGTAAGAATGTTTATGGCATCAGCAACCAGTATGGCATCAGCAACCAGTATGTATTTGTTGATGTTGATGGTGATTGGTCTGCTTGCAAACAGCCAGGATACAGCCGAGAAGTTGGTGAAGACGGAGGTTTTGTATGAGGGAAAGAAACTTCAGACGATGATGAAGAAGGAATATTCGTGAGTTGTGTCTGACAGCCCTTCTCTCTTGACGAGAGTTGTTGTCAAGAGACAAGAAGCTCGACTGGAAGAAAGAAGCCAGTGCAGGTCAAGACAAGACGAGCGATGAAAGTGCAGGAGAGAATTTCCTCCTTGCCGCCAAAGACGACATCCAAGGCATCGGGGACACGGCCTCCATCCAACAATATGCCAAGATGTTGAGGTTTGTTGCTCCTGACCTCACCTCCCCTCATCTCATCTCATCTCATCCCATCCCATCCCATCCCATCTTATCTCATCTCATTTATCTCATCTCATCTCATCTCCTCTGATCTGATCTCATCTGAACTGATCTCATCTCGTCGGTGACAAGTATCTCAATTCCCTTTGTCAACCACGTTCTTTCCTTGCCATAACCACAAATAGCACCATTAATACTCTTCATCCCTATCGTTATCATCGTCACCATCATCCCCATCGTAATCGTCATCGCCATTTTTTCTTTTCTTTCATGCGTTGACCTCTTGTCACGAGTTGTGTCTGTTCTAGAATGACCAAAAAATTGATCAGAGAGCAACTCCTGTCCAGGTTTGTTCGATTCATGTTTGGATGCTTTTTATATCTCCCTTCTTCTCCTCCCTCGTCTTATCTCCAACCCCTCTCCCCCTCTTTCTTTTACTCTGTTCCTGATCCTCTTGCTCCTCCTCCTCATTCCCGTCTCCCTCCACGATCATCTCCTTCTCCCCGTCTTGTTCTATTCTCATCATGGCCGATTTCTCAGCCCATGTAAAGAGCACCTAGTTGTTCGTCTCACTGTTGTCTGCTTTTCTCACTTTGATCTGATTTGCTGCAGCAAGGGGATCCCTGACCAGAACGTTGTCGATCTTCTCAAGCAGCTCAAGACGTTAGTGTCTGCTGATTGTCCGGATGAGATGGAAACATGTTGACTTGTTCCTCCCTCCATGACAGCGTCAACCCGTTCTCAGCTCCGACCAAACAAGTTGAGGTGAATCATCGTACGATCTACAACTGTTTCCTTGTTATGTGTTATCTTGTGCTGAGCTCTCACAATTGTCTTGATGCTTCTGTACTGGTTTTACAAACATGTGTTCTGATCCGATGTTCCTTGTGTTCTCTTATTTGATATTCTTTTGTTGTTCTTGGATTGTGTTGATGATGTATCAGGTCATCGCAGGAAAATATCAGCTTTTGAACCATCCCATGAACTTGAATAGGAAAGTTGAATTGCACTTCTCCTCCTCCTCCTCCTCCTCCTCCTCCTCCTCCTCCTCCTCCTCCTCCTCCCTCTCCTCCTCCCTCTCCTCCTCCTCCTCCTCCTGTCCTCCTCCTCCTCCTCCTGTCCTCGTATCTGAATGCTCACACAAGATTGATGGGGCGTAGCGATCGCCTCATTGTGTTTCTTCTCCTCTGTGTCATGCACTGACATGTCACGCAGTTTCCGAGCCATCGCTCGCTCGGAGAAACTGTTGTGCTTTCCCCTTCTTCTGTTCTCAGCCCTGACGTTGACGGCGCAGGTTCAGTGACAGTGAGAGTGACGACCAGGTAAGAAGATCGCATGAGCTCGACTCCTCTCTGTCACTGAAGTTCCCTCCTAGTTGAAACGAGCGCCACTGGAAGCGACATGCTCAATCTTGTGACTGCAGCGCGTCAGGAGCGGGAGGGTGCGGGCTAACGATGCGAGGCAGGGAGGAGCCAAAGGATGTTGTTGTTGAGATGAAAGCCAACCAATCCGGTTTCTATTTCATCGTCTTGGTCTTGTTGATCTCTCAGTCGTTTGTTTTGTCTTTGTTGTTCGTTTTTGTTCTTGTTTGTTTTCTTCATGGTGTTCTTCTTCTCAGCCTACTCTCATGCCCACATTTGTTTCCTGATCGCAGCGAGTTATGTGATGCCACCGTGATAGGCAATGGGGTGGAGGCGAGGGGTTCATGGAAGCCAGTGGGCAACAAGGTGCTGAGTTTCACGTTCGCTGCGGACGGAGAAAAGTCGCAGGAGTATGAGGTGTCTTGCTTCCAATGAGGCAGGCAGAAGTGAAGAAACTCTGCAGATCGCGTACTTGGATCAAGACTTCCTGTTACTTGAGAGTGAGACTTGACGAGTTTGGTGTGTGCATGTCAAGGGTTTGACTGTGTTTGAGTAGGTGCTGAGGAGCTCAAACCTTTTCTTGTTCTTGCTAAGATCAGCTAACAACGCAAAGATGACAACCTTGAGCCAAGAGAAAGGAAGGAGAATGAACGCAAAGGAGTAGAAGGGAAGTGAGAGAAGGATGCTATGGGAATGAGAGGAGAGGGAGCAAGACTTTCAAGTGATTGCATAATGAATGCTGCAAGCCTTGGCGTGTCCTTTGCATCGCACTCGCGTCAATGTCGTGATTGTGTCAACTTTCATTGTAATTTACGAGGTAATGCTTAGGATTTCAAATTTACAAGCATAAAACAGGAGGGAACAACATGAGGGGTAGAGATACTAGCTTTTGAATGAAGGAGTCATCCTCATTTTCATCATCATCACATTCATCATGGTAATCATCATCATCCTCCACTGCATTCTTCTATCTTCTTGAAACAAACTTGTTGCACCTTTCCCAGCCGATCCGCAGCGTCTCTCCCATCAAAAAACCACAAAAAAGGAAAAAACAGAAACAGAAAAATAGTAGACTAGATCAGATCAGACAATAACTCGTCCGGATGATCTCCAGCCCCCCCAGAAAACCTGAAACAGCACCATCATCTACATCATCGGGTTGCAAGAGCAGGAGCAGGGAAAACAAGTAGGACACCAACAACTCTGTTCTCATCATCATCACTTCCATGATCTTCAACAACAAGCCAAGACTCCCTCATCGTCATTTTGGGTCTCTACAAACACAACAAACCCAGGACATTTCCTTACCAGATGTCGCTCCCTTGCAGTCTTGCGTCATGGTCCGGCCCATTGACATGATCTCTTATCCCTCCATCTGAGACTTTATGTTGTCAGTCCCCTCGACTCTCACCCCGTATGTTGAACCTTCTGCTAGCATCCCATCCGCATTGAACTCTAAATTTGTCAACCCTCGATCACCTGCACACTTCAGTCAGAGCTGTCTACAACCCTGTCTCTTCTCGCTCCTCCTCGTCCTCAAGATCATCTTCATGCACCTGCTCCTGCTCCTGCTCCTGCTCCTGCTCCTGCTCCTGCAACCACACTCGCACCTGCTCCTCCTCCTCGTCCCCTTCCTTTTCACTTTCATCGTCATCACAATCATCATCTCCTCCATCTTCATGATCATTCTAATTTGGCCATCGCCACCACCATCATGAAACATCTACAGCTCTTTGTCAAACAATTTTTGTCTTCACTCACCTACATCAACACCAATCTCTTCCCCCAAAAAAATATTCGCATCCTGCATCGACGACCTGCGGGTTTACATCAGAATCTTTACAACATCAGCAGAAACCTGAGTCACTGACTCCTTCCCTTCCCGCCCTGTTCTCTCCCACTCCCCTTGCCCTCCTATTCTCCTCCCTCGTCCCTTCTTTCTCTCCTCCTCACCCTGCTGGCTGGCCATGCCCCATTTCGTCATGCTCAACATCCTGTCACAAGTATCAGCGTTGAACGCATGAACGAGCGACAGAGACACAATTCAACAACAGCAGAGGCGCAAGCATTTGGCTTACCTGCTCGTTACATCCCAGTTTCCATCTCATCACTTTCATCAGACTCATCAGGTTTTGGTTTCGTTTTGACGCAATCTCAGCCTGGAAGCCAACGGAGAGCTCAGTAATAGGATAGCTGCAAAGAAGACAACAGGAGGCTGCATGGGATAAAGAGGAGCGAAGAGAGGAAATGCAGGAGAGATGAGGGAGGGTCAAGAAAGGGAGGGATCAGCATGAAAGTTTTGAAAGGCATTGAGCAATGAGTAAACAAGACATCCCCGGAGCAAAATGCATCTGCATCACCTTCTTGACGAGCTCTTTCCTCTCCTGCATAAGATACTTGGAAATGGCTCGCAGAGAGCTGTTTTCTTCCTCTAGCCTCTCTATCTGTGCCTGCCACGGGAGTCAGACGGTACACAGGCCAGAAAACTGAGGTAGGAGATGTAACGTGCAAAGGTGAGGGTGGGAACGAGGAGGATTCGGTAACAGGAGCAACATGCAAACTTTTAACACGAGGGATGCCGTGAAGGGAGAAATTCTCTAAGAAGTGAACATGTACCTGTACATCTTGCGAGGCTCCTTGCCTTCGTATCCGAGGTCGATCAGCTTGCTACAAGAAAACATCAGCTTGACGCTCATAACCATCAACAACATGATGTCTTCGTTCTTCTGCCTCCCACACCTCCTCCAACATCCTTTCCATGACAATCGGTATACCCAAGGCTACCGGTATCACCATCGTGCCATCATCAGATCAGACAGCTCTCCTCCCGTCCTCTCCGTCCTCTTCCTCTCCTCCCTTCCTCTGCTCACCTCCAGAATCTCCTCCGGCGCAACAATCCCCACATCATCTGCCCCGCCCTGCCCGTGCCCTCCTGCACTCGCTCCCGCTGCCCCCCACCCGCTCTCCTCAAACTCTTGCCATGGAGGGTGCACATCCGGATTTCTTCCCCCTCCCCCCCGAAGTTCACCCCGGTATCCTTCAGCCGCTCCCTGCTTCTTGGCAGGAGGAGCAGGACCCCGTGCCTGTGCTGTGCCCTGCAGGAGGGTCAGCTGCTGGCCAACAAGAATGCCTCGTCCTCACGGGTTTCGTCGCTGCTGGAGGTCTATCAGCCGCGCCATGCTCTGCAAGCTCAGACGACAAGTTTCTGCTGTTCAAGGAGGAACAGGGAGGGCAAGTCAAGATAGGAACAGGCGAGGGGAGGAAACTTCTGTACCTGTCCTCTGACTTGACAGACACCCCCTCCATAGACCTTGCTTGGTTTCCCTTCTGGGGAAGGACTTGAGTTTCCCCCGCTACATCAGATCTGCTCAAACTGTGAGGTTTCTTTCCCGCACAAACTCTCCTTGCTCGTCAGCTTACAGGTCAATTAGAGAGTATCCGTCGGGGGGGAGGGAGTCCAGTTTCCCGTCGAAGATGTTCTTTCAAGCAAGACTCATTCCCAACATCACAGTCATGTGCCATGTCAGAACCTGTCTCTCTGTTGTCAGCGTCGCCGCTTCTGCCTTTAATCGTGTCTGAAGACAACATCACTTGCTGACACCTCCGTCCTGCTCAGCCTACTTGAGCACTTAACGGAACTTTTTTCATGTCTTCACGGATCTTGGTCAGTCTTGTTTCTATTGCATTCAAACGTCTGTGTACACGTCACCGGAAGATCAGAGGCTGAAACGAAAGTCCTGTACCTTTGAGGCCATTTCGTAATCCCGTGCTGGTGACAGGCCTTCTTAAACGTTGGCAGTGTCACCCTGTGGTGCCAAGGCAAATCAGAACCCGTCCGCATTATCGCTCACATCCTATCACCTCAAGCTCGCCGCTGCATCGCTCATCTGCATCGAGAACCTCTTTCTTATGTCATACTGCGATCACAAACAAGTCAGCCTCCTCGACGCGCGCTCACGCCCATCCTATCACTACTCCCCAGCAACAACAAGAGCGAAGTTTACCGATGTCACTGCCTTCGAGTCGGTCGAGAGCATGTTTGGATTCTGTTGCTGAGGCACTTGCTGCATCTGTGATGCCGGAGCGTGCCCCTGTGTCTTCGTGTACACTGGCATCTTCGGCCCCTTGGCGTTCGTCACCGTCGTCGGGACGGCTCGAGCAGCAGCACTATGGAGTGCAGCGCCACCAGCAGGGCCTCCTACTGCCGCCTTGCCCACCAGACCTGCCCCAGCATTCCCGCTCAACGCTGAATTCATGGCTGCCATGCTCCCATGTACAGTCTTGGTCGTGGTGGCGATGGCTGGCTGGGGGAGAGGGTTCTGGTTCTCAGGGATCTCGAATCCATCCTCAGCGAGATCGGACGGTGGCAGGTTGGGGCTGCTGGAAGGAGAGAAGAGATTTCTTAGATCGCTGTCGAGGTTGCTGTCGCCAAACAGATCCAAGTGGACGTCCCCATCGTCTCCTGCCAGGGTGAACCAGCACGTCAGGCAAAGAGCATCTCACGTATGAAACAAGCAAGGGAGAACACAGCATGCAGTCGAACCATGCCCACAAAAATGTAAACAGAGAATTCAGACTGCGGGCAAGTTGTGGGAACTGATCACTCCACATCCTCTCGCAAGCATCTACTCGAGAGCATCGAGCAACATCGACATTCTTTACCGTCTGGATCCATGGTCTCTTCCCCTACCCTTTCACGAGCTGCAGGTTCTCTATCTTGTACAGAAAGTTATGATTCAATCCGGCGTCGTGTGCGGAAAGCAAGCAGATCCGAAGAGCTCGCAGCTCAAACCCCCACTGTTCCGTCACCCTTATTCACTACGCCGCAATCATGCTGCTGGAACCCCCTTCTCGCAAAACAGCTGCAAAGACATGCGTAATGGAATGTTTATCTGCTGCCAAGATTGATTTCATCTGGTATTCATCGGCATGGCATGAGAACGCTTGACCAACAATGGGATACCGAAGGGGTTGCTGAGTGGAGGCCGGGGGCCAGATATGAAGGGCAGCCCAGGCAATGCACAAGGCGGAGGGAAAAGAAGAGGACGCAAGATCCCGTCAACAAGAGCAAGCAACTAGAAGGATCAGCACGATGCTCTCAACGACCTGATGGCAGAGCAAGAGGAAGGATGAGAAAGCGGCCGGAGCACAGTGGGGGGCGAAAGGGAGGAGGTAGCGGGAAGGAAGGGAAGGGGAGGCGGGGGTACAGAATGGGGGGTGGTCATCTTTTGGTGGGTACTTTGAATGGGAGAAGGATATGGTGGGGTAGTTGTTCATATTCGAAATATGGGGTGGTTGTGGAAAGGGGTAGGGTCCATGTGAGGTCACAAATATTTAATCGTAGCATGGTGGGGTTGGACACTTAACCGTGGGTTAGGAAGGAGGGGTATAGATAATCATGGGTGGGTACTGTTTACCTTGGGGTGGGTGTGAAGACTGTAGGCAAAGCCTTGTTGGAAACGGGTGGACGGTAGGGGGTGGGGGATTTAGAAAGGTCAGTGGAGGCCTGGCTGAAACAAGGGGTAGGGGTACCGGGGACGAGAAATCAAAGGTTACCACGAAGTACCCCGTAGTTTATGGTTAAATTGGGGGTACCGCACTGAGGGGGGTATGCATGTCCAGAGGGGGCTGAAATGCTACAAGCAGTGGCCGATGGAATGGGTAAAAAGGGGGGTACTGAACGAGTCAGGGGGTGGGGTCCTTCATTTGAACATACAGTAGTGCCCGGCCCTTCTCTCCTGCAGAACAAACTCCTAGATGGATGGGGTGGTACTTTTCAGATTAGGGTACTTTGTAGGTATAACAGGGGGTAGCGGGTAGACGTTGTTTGAGTGGGTGGGGTATTTTAGCGAGAAGGAGACATTTCAAAAGATCTCTTGACCCAGATTGCAATCTTGGTAATGATCTCCCGATACAGCACTACAAATTTTTTAAAACTCTCTTTTTGACACTTAAAGACTAAAACATTTTTAGCTTACGACCGCGGCGCAAGGTCAGGTGAGGGGTAGAGGGGTGGAGGGGGGAGGGTGGAAGAGGGTGGTCGGTTTCATGGGTCCAACCGAGCGACTTCTGTTGGGACCGGTTCATTTCGATGAAGACTATGGTGGGGTAGGTCCTGTTTGGTACTCATGGGGGGTATTTTCTATGTGTGAATGAAAATGTTTGTAAGGGTGGTGGTGGTCATGTTTGAATGGAGGGTGGTATGTCCTGTGTGGTGGGGTGGTCCTTTTTAGTTTTAACATGTATATATGGGGTAGGGTACTTGTTTATGGCAAACAGGGGTCGTAAATCTAGGTCAGTAGGGGTGGTTTGGAAGTAGGTTCAAGAGGTACTGAAGTTCATTACAAGGGGGTAGGGGTACTCAGGAATTCTCAGGGTTTTTGCCGGGGAGGGAAAAAAAAAGAAAAGAGGGACAGGCAAGTGTGGGTAGGGGTGCTCTTATAAGATATGATTAGTGGGTACTTTCATAGTATCTTTTGGGGTGTGTATATAAATTGGGTGGGTAGGGGGTGTCAGTTTGGAGGCCGGGTGGAGTGTCCTGAAGTAGGGGGTTCAAATAGGGTCAAATGGAAGGGTGGTCAAAGGGGTGAGCGGGGTCCTCGATTACACCCCGCACTGTGCCCTAACACTGTAAACTTATTTCAGAAGTAACACCCAAAATTCTCTTCTAATTTTCAAGTTCTCATGTCATCCTCTAGATGACTAGTAGATAGTTTGAAATTGATATGAACCTTTGGAATTACAGAGTTGAACGCAATGGCCATAATCAGTGAAGCCATAAGTGTGTTCTTTGTGATGTTTTGCTGTGGATTCTGAGATTGGGGAGCATGCTATTGAAAGTTGTTGAGCATGATATTGAAAGTTGTTGAGCATGATATTGAAAGTTGTTGAGCATGATATTGAAAGTTGTTGAGCATGCTATTGAAAGTTGTTGACTCAAGGGTGTGGGAAATCAAGTGGGAAATCAAGGATGGGGTGACACGATTTTTTCTTCCCTTGCTCCTGTGGATCTTACTTGGGAAGTGAAGGAATCCTATCTCAATTTTTGTTCGATGAGGTGTGTTCAAGCGCGGAAATGCACTGATGACGAGTGTCTTGTTCATATCTGAAATGCGAAATTTGCACCGCAAACATGATGTGACTGAATGCCATCCGCCCTCTTACTTTCTGTGGTTTCTTAGCATAAATTGCAAGACAGAAAGAGAGGGAGAGGGGCGGGGCGTGAAGGAAAGCAAGTATATATTCTGCGGTGGGTTGATAGACTGGATAGAAGGAGTGAATGATTCCAAAGATTGAAGATCTCATTCATTCATCTGATCTGCAACCAAGAATTCTGTAAAGCTGCTTGCAGGAGGTTCCCTCAAGACAGCTCTGATCTTCAAGAATAAACAACTCCATTTTGATATGGACATGGTTTAATAGATCAAGGAGGAAGAAATGAGAGAATGAAGCATAACATCATTGAATGTATCACATCCACCACAACTACGATTATGGTTGACAGGCATCAACAGAAGGCAGGGGGGACTTCACAACAAATAAGATGAATGGATGGAATCACTGGTAGCTCGAGCCGAAGTTTGCAGGCTGCTGAGTTCGGCCATGCAAGAGGAGGCTTTCCTTGGGCGCATACGGCATGCTGGTGCCAGTCCGGGAGCTGTCTCGTAGGCTGTTCTCCTCGTCTACTTCTCACGGAGAACGAACGCACAGCTGTCACCATCGTACGACAGTCGGATGGGCATGCCAGCTCCCATGAGCATCGAGCCCGACATGGTGATGGCTTGCCTGCCCGTCTGCCATTGCGGGACACCTCCTCCCACCTCGAGCTGGCCGGTGTTTCTGTTCCTGAGAGAACTGTTTGGAAAGATCTCCTCGACGATGTACGTTTCGTCTTCTTTCAGCCCCCTGAGACGGAGGCGAGGGAGGTACCTGCCTGCCTCTACCTTGTTGAGGAAGACAGCAACAACGGCCTTGATGTTGTCATTGTCAAAGTTGGTGCACATCCATGCGTACGCCTCCTGGTCGCTGGAGTTGGCCGGGGACCAGAGGCGGTAGAACCTGCCGAAGAGCACGACGGGGGCGAGCTCCTTGTACTTGGAGATGTAGTTGGTCAGCTCGTGTAGCTCAGCTTGCGAGAGCTTGCGGAGGTCGAGCTCGAGGCCGAAGTTGCCGAAGAGCGAGACGAGGAATCTTGTCTTGAGGGTGGACAGGCGCTGCGTCTGGTGATTGGGAACTGTTGTGATGTGCGATCCTATGGTCGACAAGGGATAGATGAGGCTCGTCCCACTCTGGATTGCCAGCCGGCTGAACACGTCGGTGTTGTCACTAGCCCAGATCTGAGGGCAGAAGTTCAACATTCCGGCGTCGTAGCGCCCTCCTCCTCCCGAGCAGGTCTCGATGCGCACGTGGGGGAACCGCTCGTTGAGATGGGCAAGGACCTTGTAGACGCCGACCATGTACCGGTGGAACACCTCCCCCTGCTTCTGCGGCGAGATAGCGTTCCCGTAAACCTCCGTCAGGTGACGGTTCATATCCCACTTGATGTACTCGATGTTGGACTCCGTCAGTAGCGCGTCGAGCTTTGAGATCACGTACTCTCTCACTTCCTCGCGGGTGAAGTCCAACACGAGCTGGTTCCTCCCCTCGCAGCGGCTGTTCCTCCCCTGCTGATTCAAGCACCAGTTGGGGTGCGCGGCATAGAGCTGGCTCCGAACGTTCACCATCTCAGGCTCGATCCAGATTCCAAACTTGAGGCCGAGCTCGTTGATCTCTCTCACCATGGCAGACAGCCCGACAGGAAACTTGCGCTTGTCTTCGTGCCAGTCTCCCAGCGACGACGTCGCATCCTCACGCTGCCCGAACCACCCGTCGTCTAGCACTATCATCTCAACCCCGCAGTTCACTGCGATCTTGGCAATCTCTAGGATCTTGGCATGCGAGACATCGAAGTATGTCGTCTCCCATGTGTTGAGAAGGACAGGAGGGACTGTGTTGTGCCAACGTGAGGGGATCAGGTTGTTCCTGTACAGGTCATGGAACGCGTGCGTCATCCCCTCGAGCCCCCTGTCGCTGTACACCAGGACGCATTCAGGGCCCTCGAAGCAGTCCCCGGCGGGGATGTGCCACTTGAACGTGCTCGAGCTGATGCCGGCGTTTATCCTCGTCCTCCCGGTCTCCGACACATCCGCCTCGATCATGAAGTTCCCCGAGTACACCAGGGAGAAGCCCCACACCTCCCCCACGGTCTCTATCATCTCCTCCGACGTGTTGGTCAGCGCACAGAACGGGTTGTGCTGGTGGCTGCTAGTCCCACGAAGGCTCTCGGTCACAAACTTCCCCTGGATAAGAGGCTGCAGCTGGATATGCCGCTCGTTGGCCCAGCTCCCACACAGGGTGATCATGTTAGTGTTGCTCATGGTGTGGAAGTCGACTGTGGCGCTCATCAGCTTGTCGATTCGCACGTCCCCAGACAGCCCCTCGCTGTCCCTCTTCTTGTTCTTGCTCGGGCTTCTGAGGTTCGGAGACTCGTACGTGGGATTTCGCACGATCACTCTCCGGCTCAGTGCGTCCACGTGCTTGAAGACCGTGTAGATCAGATCAAACTCAAGGCCCGTCACTTTGTCCTGCATCTCAACAACCAGAGTGGAGCATTCCTCTTCACTCCCTCTCAGCTCCGGCAGCCTTCCCTTAGCAGCCGTCATCGGCAGCTTGCCCTTGATGATACGATGCCCCTTGTACGTCAGCGGGCAGATGGCGCCACCGTCCTCATACACAACAGAGAAGCTAGGAGCGCGGTAGTCTCCCGTCCCAAGGTCTGCATACTCCAGCAGCTTCGTGTTCCTCCCCACCTGCGGGATCGGATGCTCCATCTCGATGTCATGGAAGCCGTGGTGGGGTTCGGACCCGCTGGATGTCCGGGGAGGTGTAGGGTGATGCTCTCTCAGCCTTGACAGCTCCGGGCTCAGGCTCTTCTTGTTCTCCCTGCTCACTTCCAGCTCATACTCGAACTCATCGATCCTCCCGGACTTGAGGTCTTGCATCCTCATCAACCTCCAGGCGGCATTCTCGCGTCTCGCAATAGCAATGATGTCATGCGGGACAAACTTGGAGCTGCTCTCGAAGCTGCGCCACTCGTCCGTTCCTGACTCAACAAACTCTCCGTTGACGAGCGGGCTGGCAGCCATGTCGATCTGCTTCCTCGCCCTCTCCCACTCCATGAGGAGGTCGTGCGGGTCGTGCGACTCGTGGACCTGAAACAAGTCCTCGATGGGGATCGTGTTCTCGAACTCGAACTGTGTGTAAGGGCCTGGATCAAAGCAGAGCTGCACGTTTGAGAAGGAGAGGAAGCGGAGGTCATCCGTTGGCGGAATCGACTTCCCCCAGTAGAGGTGCTCGAGGCTCCCGTTCTCGTCGGCGCGGAACGCATACATCATCGATTTGCCGTACATCCTGAAGGTTGACGTTGTGCTCTCGAAGAGGATCTGCCCAGCATAGTCTTCCAAGGCGCCGTTTCGATCGCCCACGGTGCACTGATTCTGGAAAGCTGGCTGGATATCGTCCATGTTTGAAGGAGGCATGCTGCCACTTCAGATATCGAACCTGTGGACATCCAGTGAGTTGTAAAAGGGACACAGAAAGAATCGATTCTTCCATCAGACGTTGTCAAGCATGGCATTCGAGGTAACTTCTAAGCATCTGTGGTTCTCTCCTGTTCCTCCTACACACACACTGCGATGTCGATCTCGTACATCCTCGTCTTTTGTGTTCCTCGTGTTTAACGCACAACATTGTCTGTGGCTGGTACCTCATGGCAAGTGTGATGGTTTTCGTCTCGTTGCAGTGACATATATGAATTTCTGCTTACTTGAACCACAACCACAAAGAGCATGAATCACAAAGAGCGTGGGATAGATGGGATAGAGCTCGGCTATCGTCAACTCTCTTCACAACCTCTCCTCCATCCTAATTGACGAGCCCTCCCACCTGCTTCGATATTTTCTCTCGCACAACAAGCACATCTGCTTCCCTCTGCTACTGCTGCTGGTTGTAGGCTCCTTCGTCTTGCCCCTTCTCTACCTCGCCCTCCTCCCTGCCATGCGAAGCTGCCTCGGCTCTATCTCCCCAGATCGCCATAGATCCCTGCAGCTTTCGTACATGGGGGTGAAAGATAACTCGAGGGGGTAGGGGTAATGGACCTCCTTACAACAATGGGGGTGGGTGATGAGGAAGCCGGAGGGGTCGGCATAGAGGAAGTGAGATAAAGGGGTAGGGTCCAAGATTGCTCTGAAGGAAACCTTGTTGGTGAAAGATGGGGTCCATATGAAGTAAAGGTGAAGACAAAAAGTAGGTAGGGGTGAAAACAAAGGGGGTCCTTGCGAGTGCTTCTTCATTCTCAGGGAGTGGGGGTCATGTATGAAGGGGATCAGCAGTGGAATCTGAGCCATAGAGGGGTGGGGGGTGCTACTTTGAGCTACGGTTCAAGAAGAGGTGTTACCTTAGTATGGGGTGGGGTCATGACCCCTACCAGTCATGATGACCCAAAATAACCCATCAAACCATGGGTCCTTCAGATGTTCAATGATCGGTCTGGAGGTCCTGCGAGAAGAGGTGGGGGTATATGATGGTAAAAAGGATGGGTGGGGGTATTACGAGGGGGCGAGTCACGGTACTGGAGGAGGTGGGTAGGCCGGTCGGATTGAGCCTTGAGATCACCGAGTACCGTGTCACGGTGTCACAGTCACGGCGGTGGCCCGCCGGGCGCCGGGGACGCCGGGCACACGGGGGGGGGGGGGCCGGGGGGCGGCAGCTGCCAGTCACTGCCTACTAGACTCGGAGCCGCTCAGCGGTGCCGTGCGTCAGACTGGCATGATTGGAACTCTGAACTCGAAACCGTTCAATTGCCGCTTCGGAACCACCGGGCCCGGGGCCACCGCCGCCGGGCGCGGGCTCGGATCGGCTGGCAGGTTTCACCAGTCAGTAGTGCCCCCAGTACGGTGCTGACGGACCGGACTGACCGTCCGACGAGATATCCGACTGTGGTAAAATCGGTTGACCGGGCCGCACAGGCGCTGCCACGGTAGCGCCGCCTGTGATGAGTCACGGCCCACTGAGAGGCTGAAGATTTGAACTTTTCGATGGAATCATCCGATGGAAATTGAAATCTTTGAGAAGGATATGCGGAATAATCCGACAGGGATAAAATGCCGAACATGATCATTTCCACATATCATTGAGCTAATTCATTTTACAACCAGCGACTTGCAACCCCAACATCACGTTGTGATACCCTACCCCCTCGTTCCCCTCACCCCACCCCACACTTCCTATGCAATTTGCTGTTGGGGACGAGAGGGTACCCTACCAGGAAAATCCCCAATGCCGTCAGAGATTGTGGTGGGTGGGGTACGAAAGTGTTCGGTTTGGAAGTGAAAAGGAGCAAGGACGGTGGGGTAGGTAGGGGTATCTTTCAGAAATTGCAGGGGTTCGTTAAGAGGGCTTTGGGGAAAAGAGGGGTAGGGAAGTCATAGCAGATTATTTTCGGTCCTTGATAGGGTCATTGGAAGGGTTCAGGGGGGTATACTCACTCAATCGAGGTTGAAGTGGGGGTGGTATTACTAGCATGTTTCATAATCGGGGTAGGGTACTCTCACGGAGTCAAGAGGGGTGGGTGGTCACTTTTTACGTTTTTGACTCTCTGTTCCTTTGGCCGTGGGCATGCTAAAGGCTCTTTGGTTTATTAACATATATACTGGTTACTTTAAGTCATATTATTTGATTCTGGTAGCTATATTGAGGGATTACAGGCTAAGAATAACAAATTATTCTCTTAATAGTACGAGATGCAGTTGCTTGACCTACTGCTAACAGCCAACATATCTGCTATCCCCGGCTCGCAATGGCGCGAAAGCCAGGGACATGCCACCTGCTCCTTGTCGCCCCTCCTGCCTGTCCTCGGCCTCCTCCCACCGTTGTTCCTCTTGTTCGGTCGTAGTTGCCAACCCTAGACTGATATCTAGCTTCCTCGCAAGTATTCCATTGTCTCATTTCACTCGAGTGCATTTCAAGACTCTAACTTAAATATCTGATCCTCCCGCCTCCCCTCCCTCCCATCGTTTTTCTTTTCGCGGCTATTCGTGTCCTGTTGGTATTTCGCCTTCCATTTTGATGCGTCGTTTCTCTTGCTTCTCTTCCTGGCTCCCTGCATTATCATTTTCCCGCTAACCTCACTCACATCCTGTACTGTACATGTTGCTGGTGTTGAATTCCTTTTTTCTGTTTTCTTGTGATCCTTTACAGCCCCTCGTCAAGACTTTCTATCATCATTTCGATGTTTGTCAAACCTGCCACCAATCTCTCTCGATCGCTTCTGTCCTGCAACTTACAAATACCTGCATTCGTCTTGGTTGCACTGAAATATTTGACCGTTGCTTCTGTTTTGGCTAAATTGGTCGCCTCCACTTCAACTTCTCGTCCTGAAATGAGCATGTTAAAGGATGAGGTAGGAAGACGAGAGCGCGAAAGAATAAGGATAGGCCCATGTTCTCTTCTGTCACCCATCCATGTAATTTGTCAGAGAGAATGGGGCAATGTATCCTGTGGAGGGCCACGAGATATTGGCGTTTGTTTGCGCTGTTTGCACCCGCCGGACATTTCGCTGATGGAGATTCATTTGCAGGGCCGATGAATCTTTTTCTTCTCGCTGGAATCAGTCACTGACATGGGCTGTGGGACCTCGTTACACCTTGTTACGTCGCCCAACCAGAGGCTTCCACGACGGAGCATCGATGGCAGCTATCGCATTGGGAAGATTGTAGGAAGGTAAGACAGAGCTGCTGTCCCGTGGATCTTGTTGACGTCAGGCGGCAGGGGGACATTCTCGGTCTGCCTGCAGGCGGAGGCGCTTAAGGGAGGGATGGTGGTGGTGAAGAAGCTGGCAAGGTCGAATGTGAACTTCAACTACAACAACATCCTCAAGGAAGTTCGGATCATGAAAAAGCTCTCGCACCCTGGGCTCATTCGACTTCAGGACTACTTCGAGGACCAGGAAGCAGTTTACCTGGTGCAAGAGCTGGCGAACGGGGGGGACCTATTTGACAGGGTTGTAGAGGGCGGGGCTATACCGGAGCCGGCCTCCGTCTTCATCTGCAGGCAGATACTCTACGCTCTTGGATACCTGCATGAGAACAATGTCTGCCATCGGGACCTGAAGCCAGAAAACATCCTCTTCCTCTCCTCCCTCCCTGGTGCACCCGGCTACGACATTGTCAAGATCACCGACTTCGGCTTGAGCACAGACAAGGCGGTGGGATACACGGATACCATGTCAACAGTGTGCGGAACTCCAGACTACACAGCTCCTGAGCTGCTGGCAGCTGCTGGCACGTCAATGGAGGGGAGGATGCTATACTCCTGCAAGGTGGACATCTGGTCGGTGGGGGCGATTTTGTACATGATGCTGGGAGGGAAAGCTCCTTTCAAGTTCACGGACAGCAACACGACTGTCGTGCTACAGAAGATTTTAACGGGAGAATATTCGTTCCCTGACAAGTACTGGGAGAATGTCTCGGATAATGCGATCATTTCTGTTCGCGCCATGATGCAGGTGCTGCGCGTTACTCTGCCTCACTTTCAAACCCCCCCCCCCCCCCCTCTCCCGGATCCTCTTCCTCCTCTTCCTGTCCTCAACCTTCTCCTCCTCCTACTACTACTCCTGCTCCCGCTCCCGCTCCCGCTTCTCCTCGCTCGCTCGTTCTTCCCCTGCCTTCTTGCGGTGTTGGATTGACGAAACTTGCTTTAGGTGGACCCGCGCATGCGTCCGACAGCATCGGAGTGCCTGGTACTTGCATATCAAGCTTGTCGCCCACTTGCATGCTGACATCTCTCAAGGAGCTTGACTGGTTCGAGGAGGATGAAGAAAGAAGGATGCAAAGGTTTACATCTTCAGCGTCTCGTTCTTCGCTCCCTCCTTCCCACCACCCGCCCTCTCAGATCATCTTTCGCCATTCTCCTCTCACGCTATCCACCTCGCACCGTCTCTCCTTCCCTCTCCTTCCCTCTCCTTCTCCCTCCTTCCCTCCTCATTCCCCTCCTTACCTCCTTCTCTCTCCTCCTTATTTCTTCTTCTCTCCTTCTCTCCTTCTCTCCTTCTCTCCTTCTCTCCTCACCCTGATTTTCTCCTCAGCCTTGGCTTGCACGCGGAGACGACCTCCAGAAAGACAGTTCCAGGTGGTGTGAAGGTGCTGCTTGCCACTCTCCCTCATCCTTCCCACAGACCCTCATGCGAGATTCGTCCTAGCCAACTCGCTCCACAAGCCGCCCAAATGAGCAAGACGTGAGATGAGTTTGAATTTGTCCTCCTCGAGTTGACTTGTTGGATTAGACGGCTCACTTGACCTGTTACCCCCGCATGTGTTTATGGCCCAACTCCCTCCGATCCTTATTTTTTATCTCCATCATGATGGCAGCAGGTTAGAAAGGGAAAGATGTATACAAGACTTAGTTTGGATTTTTGTTGTTGATTTCACTAATTAAAGTAAGAAAAGGGACCAGAATGGACAAGTAGTCCTCCTCGAGATATTCTACAGAATGTTCTGACACGATGATAACGCATTGAGCAGTGAAAAATTGTTGAGGCATGGCTCAGCTGCTTTCCTATGAAATTCTTTCTTTTCTTTTTCCCTCTTCCCTCCTCCCTCCTCCCTGCTCTTGCACTCGCAACTTGCCCTTCCTCATTGCCTTTCCTGCCCTAGCGCCCCGTTCGCTTCTCTGATTTCCTTGTAGAAGGAGCTAGTGCGGAACATGATCTTAAGCTCTCCGGTCCTTTGCCACAACATCCTCACTACAGTCCCTGCACAAAGCAATCAATTCAGTTTTGCAAACCTCCTCCACTCCAATGTTCCTCCTCTGCTCCAATCCCCTTCCTCCTCAACTCTCCATCTGTCTCCCACCCTTCCTTCCTCGCTCTCCTCACCTAGAGTAATGTCGTTGGGAATCAGCGCGTTCTCTTGCTCAGTCGTGTGGATCAGGAGGTCGAAGGCCCTGTAGTCCTCCTGCTTGTATCGGGAAGCGAGAAACTTCTTCAGCACGATCATCTGACACGATTCGATGGAGCAGACGTAGTCCTTCTTCAAGGGCTGAACCCTCTGCTCCGTAGGATGCGGCCAGAGGCGAAACTCGACTATTCCTTGGCGCTTGCTAACGATGGAGGGAGGAGAAGGAGGAGAGACCGGACGAGCCGCGGGACGATCGCCAGGGCCTCCAGGGCCTTCCGGCTTCTTGCCATTCCTCCCTTGGCTCGAGACCTTGCTCTCCTTCCTTTGCTCGCCGTCCACCTCCCTCGAGCTCTTGTCTGCAAGATCGCTCTTTCTCTTCACCCCGACCTTCGCCATTCCGTTCTCCGATTTCTTGCCGCTACGAGCTGAGGAGGACGGTGCTCCAAATCCGGAAGTAACTTTTTCTGCCTTGGAGCTCTTGCCTCCCGAGGAAACCTTCTTGGCCGCAGACCCTCCAGCCTTGTCTCCCTTAGCCTTCCTGCCCTCTTCTTCTCCTTCTAACTGAGCCGAAGGTTTCTCCCTCTGACTTGTAGAGCGATTCTGCGAGGACGAGGCTGCCGTAGGGTCATATGAAGAGGCGGAGGAAGATGAGGAACAAACCTGCGCCGCTTGCTACATAATTGCCGCTCGATCTCTCCGTGTCCTTGTCCTTGGAACGCCCTGCATGAAATAAGCAATGAGGAGGGGAGAGGTCCAGCTCTCTCCGACGACCGGAAGCAGCTTGCGATTGTCGTCGTAAGCTGAGAGTGAGCCAAGTGAGACGCAAGAGGGCAGGAGGCTGTGCTCTTACCCTTCTTCTACCGCAGCCGCGATCGTATGACTCTCCGCGTTGACCTTGGAGATAAACTCCTCTTCCTTCTCCTCATACGCATCGATGTCCGGATAGAACGCCTTGCAACTCGTCAAAGGGCAGCCAACACAAACATCGCAGCTACTTGGATGAGCTTGTCAAATTGAGGATCGGCACGTAAAGCTCTCCTGGACGACACCTGATCGGGCACTTCAAATCTCTCGATCCTCAAGATCGACAGCTCAGCACCTTAACGCGGCACTTGGGACATTCTTTCTGCCCTAATCTCAGGTACTTTTCAATGCATTCCTGAGACTTGGGGTCAGATGACCGACGGCAACGAGACTGTCTGGACCTGACAGAAACGATGCAGGCACTCCATGAAGGTATGCGTAGAGCGAACGATGGAGAGACAGATCGGGCACCTGGCAAGCACTTTGAGAAGAGCATATCATATGTCTGGTCTTACGTTAGCTCAGCATTCAAGATGCGGGCAGGAATCTTGCTGATTGAAGTGCAGTCATTCTGAACAAGGAAATGAGAAAAATTCTTCAGATGAAGCATCAACAGACAGGAACTGGCGGCCGCCCAGGTGGATAAACTCCTCGCCGACCGACTGACTTCTGCAGCACTACCGTCACTATCTTGGCCTCCCTGCTCGCACAAGACTCGCTGACCTTTCCAGCACCAGGGGCTCCGAGCCTCGTGAGCTCCGTTGTTCCTTGCTTGCCTCTGAGGTACAAGTCACGTCTTCATGTAGCGCATCAGATGCTAAAATCACGATCTTCCTCCGCTTCTCGGCACAGGAGCAGCTGCAGGGACAGCTGCACCCTCAACACCGTTTGACTGCTCGGTCTCCATGGCTTCATCTTCCAGGCTGCCTTCGGCCGGTAGGACAGTATCGCCTTCCACCTCCATGGGAGCCGCTCCTTGCTTCCTCTCCGGCGAATCTTCATCTGTACAACCGTCAGCACCAGCAAGAACAAGAGCGCACTTTCCGTCTGCCATGTCCTCCTGTGCGGAGTCTATGTGAGAAGTTCTTGAACTTGTTCTGCTGATCTGTTCTCTGTTCTTAGCCCGAGATTTGTCGGCTCCGGCTTGCTCTTGCTCTGAAAAGATGCAAGCAAATATATTCAGGCATTACTTCATCATGTTTCACTCTCACCATCGTCAAGATGCACTGTCCTCAATTCAGTTTCTTCCTTGTTGTCTTGATCGTTCGGGGAGTTTTCATCAGAATCATGATCACTCGCCGACATCTCCTGTGGGCTTGCAAGTCATACAACACTTCAATGCACAAGGGGAATGGGTTTGCAGGAAAGGAATCTAGATCATATCCGGAGGTATTCTTGATTTGGACTGCAAGATGTGGCATTCTTTTCATCATCACTTTGATCTCAATTGTTAGTCAATAATTTCCCTCCCTTTCTTCACAAGTGCACCATTTCGTTTACGCTTTGACCGATTCCCCCAACACAGAACTGTGCTAAAATCTCTCGATGAAACTACACCCCTGCTTCACTTGACCTCCTTCATCCTTCATCTCCCATGAGTTTGGACGCCTCAACTCTGCATCGTCCCTGTCTCTTCTCTCCTCCCCATCTCCACCCCGCGCTCGCCATCCCCCCGCCATCCCCGTCCTCTGCATTGCAGCGGCCAGTGAAACTGAGGGGAATTTAGGAAGTTGAGCAAGTACCAGAAATAATTTTTAATTTTGAAATATCCGATCCAAATCAGAGTGAAACTTTGATGAAATAAGTCAGATTTTGACCCCAAAGTTTCAAAATTATGTGGAATATCGAATCTTAAAAGTGCGGCAGAAAGGGGCAGACGCTGACCGCCGTTCAGACGACCCGATCTCGGAGAGGAGAGGAGAGGAGAGGAGAGGAGAGGAGAGGAGAGGAGAGGAGAGCTAGGAGAGGAGATGAGAGGGGAGGAGAGCGAGGAGAGGAGAGGAGAGGAGAGGGGAGGAGAGGAGAGGAGAGGAGAGGAGAGGAGAGGAGAGGGAGGAGAGGAGAGGAGAGGAGAGGGGACGAAAGAGTAGGAGAGGAGAGGGGGGGGGGAGGGGAGGAGACGAGACGAGACGAGACGAGGGAGAGGGGAGGGGACGAGACGAGAGGGGAGGAGAGGGGAGGGGAGGGGAGGGGAGGAGACGAGACGAGACGAGACGAGACGAGAGGGGAAGAGAGGAGCGGAGAGGAGAGGAGCGGAGCGGATCGGAGCGGAGCAGATAGAAAGGGGAGTGAAGAGATGAAGGGAGAGAAGTGGAGGGGAAGGGAAGCAAGCAGCTACCGGGCTGATTCCATGAGAATGTATTCATGCGATTGTCGTCTTACGATATTTTGTCTCAAGACTGGGGATGATGAAAGGAACAAAGTTGTTGTGAAACAATGACAGGGACAGGGACTGGGAGGAAAGCGCAGAGGGAGGTGCAGAGGTAGAGACATGAAGATACGGTAAAGATATCATATGCTACGAAAGCACGGAGGACATGGCCAGGGCAAGGATAGAAACAGAAGGAGAAATTGATTTCGAGTTCTGGAGCATCAGTCTTGATATGGCTCACAGACCTCTTTATAAGCTCTAGTCTCGGTCGCTGTCATACAAACACATGAGATTCTGATAACATGTCAATTTATATGGACATGGAGCTAAATCCAAAGTCCAGACATCTCGAAGGAACTGACATTTGAGTTGCACATCAACGCATTGCATGGGTAGCCGCGAACTTGAGAGTTGGGTCGCCCGTAGCAACTTGCTGGGCTCGACGATTACAACTGGCCGTTGCTACACCGGCTCGAGCAGAGCTGAGAACTTGTTTCGAATGAACTCAGCCACCTTTTTCATCCTGTACCTCCCTTCCTGGCTCTGCAACATGTTGGCGAAGTTCTCGTCAAAGAGCTGGAAGAAACAATCAGTCTGACATGGACAACACATCATCCCTCGGGTCCCTCACCATGTCTTGCTTGTGTCGATCTAGAAGCTCTTCTGCCGTCCTCACCACTCCCATGGAGTACATGAGCTGGAGATAAATGCACCTGCTGTGGGTAGGTACACGAGTCAGTATCCACTCCAATACAAAAAGGCTGCTCAGCAAGCTCACTTGGAGGAAGGGTCATGATGAAGCTTGTCCCAGTCGTTGGCATCGAGGAGCTCCATGGAGTGAGTGGAGGAGATGAGCCGTTTCTGCTCATCGATGCTCTTCACCGAGAGCACCCGCACAAAGCACGACTCCCCGAGTTTGCTGCCTGGGCATCGTCGGCAGACCCTCCCGTACCGCACCATGGTGGTGTCAGCAAAGCAGTACAGGTCTTCCAGCAGAACGCACAGGAACTCAAGGTCTGACGACGGCAGCTCAAACTCGCAGCTTGCGGCCCGTGAGAGGATTTCCTCCGGGTTTCGCTTCAGAAGATGCCCCAGCCCCTTGCTGATCTCGATCTTTTCTCGCAGCATGCCCCCCGGCCGCCAGTGGACCGTCCAGTACCCGAGGCTGAGCTTGGACTCTTTCAACTTTGCGAAATTCCGCAGGTAAACTGCGTCGCTGCTATTCGCAGCGCTGAGGGAAGCACCAACTCTCCAGTCGCTGATAGGCTTCTTCATGATCCCTTCCACAACGGCACACATGGCGGATCTGATGTCAGGGCCCATGCTATTGATCATCATTAGCAGAGAAGTTTTACAGTAGCCTGCTTGCGACATCTTGACCAAGAGCGGGTAAAGGCTTCCAACCTGCTTGTCGCTTCCATCCGAGCTGAGCGCAAAGTCAGACCACACGTCTACATGTGAAGGAGCTGCCAATGGAGTCTCCGGTTGCTGAATTGTTGATGACGAGGACAAACGCACAAGCCTCCTTTCCTCTAGCTCCGCCCAAGACCCTCCAGCTGGAGGATCGCAGCATTCACTCCCTTTACCACGTCTAATGCAGTTGGAGCAAGGTCGTTTCCTGTCACATTTCACCTTTGATACCTTACAGGCAGAACAAGCCGACGTCAATTCCTGAACAGCGTCACATGAGTTTTTGTGGCCGCTTTTAGAACACTGCTTGCATGGTCTGAAGGAGTCGCAATCCAAGTTGAGTTGCTGACACCTCGAGCATGGAAGGCGTCTGGCCTTGGAGCGGATCAGACTGCTTTCCAGTAAATGTCGCAGATCAGCAGGGCAGTCCTCCATGGTATTGTCGGTTGCACCGCAGCTACGATCGCTTGGGCCAGCCCTTCAACCGTAACGAGAGGCACACAGCATGGCGTTGCGGTGCATACCCAGATGCGAGTGCCTTGAGAGGCTCTACAGGAGTAGAGGGAGGGATGGTGCAGGGAGAGAGGGCGGGGAAGAGAGGGAGAGAGGGGCCTTCGGTTGAGACAGTGCAGGATAGCCGAGATCGCCAGGAGGAGGGGAATTTGGGGGGTGGGGGAGAACCATTCTTTTATTATAACTAAAACATTATATAATTAGAACATATTTAAAATACTCGTCATGGACTGGTATGGAAGGGACGAGGCAGGGGGAGGAGGAGGAGGCCGAGGAAGGGAGGAGGGCAACTTTGAACGCGGACAAGGAACGTCGAGGTGACAAGAAAGGGGAGGGGAGAGAGAGGTAAACAGTGGGGAAGGGGGAGGGAGCGTATACTGGATGGGTGGAGAAGGGTGGATGTAGTTTCCTCAACTTGATCGCGGCTTCATGAACTGGAGAGGAAAGACTGTCAGAGCCTGGATAGCATAGCAGATCAGCAAAAGTGAGAGCAAAATATGAAGGCGGTTGTGAGAGCAGCAGAAATATCTCCTATCACATGAAACAAAGAGTTTGAGCACGTAGAAGAGGCCTTCAGGATTCATGCATGAAGACTTGAGGTCGGAGGAAATTGCGAGCCAAGAGAGAAGGAGAGTCAAAGACGCATTGAGAGAGGAGTGAGCGACGAGACGATAGGGGAGGAGGTTTATCAGTTGAGTCGCTCCCGACCTTAGGACAGGCAGCAAGGAAAACCTGATGGCAGAAAAGAGGCTGATCGGAGCGAGCAGCACCGGAAAGCCGCAATTCCGTTGCTTCATTTATGCTCCTGGTATTTTGAAATATTATGCTGAAATTTCAAATTCCGTTGTCGGTCATTTTTCCGGATACTTTACTACATGTCATTCTGTAGGGGTCCTTCCAAGGGAATATTGGGGGGTGATCAGACCCTTTTCCGATAGGACGCAGAACAGAAGTTGTCACTCCCTGTCAGCAGGGTCTGCTACTAGCTCCCTTATAATTCAAATCTTTCTGTAAAATTTCAAAGTCACAGATCAAGGAGGCACGCCTTTTGACTTGATCACAGAGTAGTAATAAATAAGTTTGCGTGCGTGCGTGCGTGCAGTCGTCGTTGCAGCCGCCAGGTTCCACCCCTTGACGCTACGGATAGAAGAGGGGCAGGCTTCAGTAACTCCAAATCTCCGATGGAATTCAGCATCAAATTGCAGGTACTTGGGAGAGAATTGAAATCTTGTCGGGGGATTCTCTCTCGAGTTCAATCTTTCGCTGAGGGGAGATAATAATACGCAAAAAATTCAATTTCAGTAAAAATAGAAAATAAAAGATATATATATGCGCGAAATTAAATTTGGCCTGCGTTAATAATTATTATTATTAAAACATTCTCCCCAGCCCGCTGTCCGGGCCCGGCCGCCCTAGCGGCCGGCCCGGCCGCCCGGCTTATCACTCAGGCTGCCGTCTTTACTCAAAGTTAAGCTGCCAGTACGTTAAGTGGCACTAGTCACGGAGTGCCCGGCAGTCACGGATGAGTGCCGCCGTACGGTACTACGGTACGGGAGCGTCGGAGACCGTTGGCTTCGTACGGCCACCGCCGAGAAATCTAAACTTTGAGTCACGTACTACCGACGGTAACTTTGAACCGTCTTGCCCGATTGCCAGGAAAGGCCCGGCCGCGCCTATCATACTGATAACCGGGTATCCACGCGGCCGCGGCCTCGGCGGCGGCCGCCGGGGCCCGGCTCGGGGAGTACGGTCCGAGACGGTGACCCGGCTCGGCCCTCGCCGACTCCGCGACGAGTCACCGTAGCACGCCGGGTCACTGTCATGGCGTATTCCAATCAGTGACAGTGACCGACTCACACAGTGATCGGACGGTGAGTAGCCGCTTCCCGGCGGCGGGCCGAGCGGCGCCGCCGCCCGGCCGGCGCGGCGCCCGGGGCCGCGCGGCGGGTGACTCAGTGATGCCACCGTCGGGCCGCGCGACTCCCGCCTGCCCGCTCGGAGCCTCGCCGGTCATGGCCAAGTTTCCCGCCGTTCTAGACTCTGAGAACCCGGCGTCACCCCCCCCCTGCCTCCGAGGCTCTCACTGGCAGCCTCCGACTCCGACTCAAGTCTCTTGAACGTGACATTTTTTCACAGTACTACGGTCACAATGCCTCAGTCAGGATTCTTCCGAGCATCAGTGACGTAGCCCCGCAATTCTGGTGCCCGCCCGGGCCGGCGCACTGCAGAACCGTTCACTGACCCGGTTGAACCGTCGCTCGGAATCATTGAATGCCGGAGGCCGGGCCGGGCTTTCTGATGCGGCCAGAGGCTGGCCGGCCCCGGACTCCGGATGCTAGCGGCGGCCGCTAGTAGGGCGTCGATGCTAACTTGGCCGCCGCCGAAGGCGGCCCCGTCCGAGAGCCTGAGCGCCCCGCGCCGGGCCTGGCCCCGGGTTGCCCGCTGGCCGGGGCACGGATCGGATTGCCCTGGCCCCGGCCCGGTGGGCCGGGCCGGGTCGGGCCGCCGGGCCGCGCCGCCCGAACGCCGCCGGGGCGGCGGGGCCCGACCGTGACGGTGCCTTTACTCAAAGTTAAGTTAAATGACGGTGACTCGGATCGGACGGACTCTCCGTTCAACGGAAAAAGAAAGGCAAACCGGAGTTTTCTTTACTCAAAGTTTATTACTACTGGCCCGCCGGTTCCGGCCGCTGGTGATCAATTAACATCAGAGGGGGGTGGTAGAACCGAAAAAGTGAAATTTGATCTGGTGGGGTGGTATATGATGGTATTTGGAAAGTACCCGGTGGTTGTTGGAGAGCTCTAGTTTACATAAGGGGTAGGGTATTACGAAAGTCATTCCCCACTCTCTGGGAACGTCTGAATGATTGCGGGGTGGGTAGGGTGGGATGTTGGACCGCAAATGACGATATTAGGGTATAAATTACAGGAACAATGGGGGTGGTGGTCAGGAACAAGGACGGGAATGATTCAATTTTAAGGGGTGGGTGGTGACACGTTTTTTTTTAAGTAAACTCTTATGATACTAAGGACCTAGTCGTAGCTTTCTCCATGAGGGTCCTAGAATAAGCTAAGACCTCCGTAAACTTAATTCTTGATACTGTTGTTAGGGAGGTCCTAGCACTCCTAGGACATTTTAAAACAATAATTGAGGGGGACACAGTAAAGTTCACGGAACAAGGGCTAGGTAGGGTGGTAGTAAATAGAGTCGCAAGGGTAGGGGGTGTGTCATCGTATATTCAGTGGGGTGGGGTACAAATAGGACCCATGATATCACTGGTAAATATGGGATGATGATGGGGTAGGGGTGGTATCAAGTAAGGGTTACTCAGAAAATCTCTTTGGAAAGGAGGTGGGGTCGAAGGGAGAAGGTGGAGCAGGAGGAGAGAGCGAGGATAGGAGAGGCGAGGAGAGAGGAGGGGAGAGACTGAGAACAAAGGCAAAGAGAGGAAGGGAAGGAGGAGATGATGAAGTAGAAAGAAGTCCGAGCAACGCGCTTCAAGTGGGAGATTGAACAACTTGGTAGACTCCTTCGTTCAACGTGAGAAACGTGATGGAAGTACGAGGATGCATTTGAAACAAGCAAGGAAGTAAGCGAAGGAAGCGAAAATACTGGGCAAGTTGATCGGAAAGACATTACATGCCGCGTTCGAGTTGAGCTCAACAAGGAGCACTCATTTCGACTACTATCGGGTCATGAACGGAGCTCCGCTTGCAATCTACGGTTGAACTACTCACAGTAGCTCTGCTAGCCAAGGTCAAGGATGAGCAACGAGGCAACTTCATTGGAGCAGCTGTGCGTGCTAACTCTTGCCTCAAGAGCCTCCTTGATCGCCCTGGCGTTGTTGGTATCAGGTCTTGTGGTTGCGATGTACCTCCTGTATCGCTCGATGATAAGGATGCAACAGCTCGAAAGCCGCATAGCGAAGCTCGAAAATGACATTTGCTCCGTTGGCTCGCCTGCTCAAGATGCCCAACATGGCACACCTGAACATGAAGGCTCCAAGTATCTTTCCGACCATGCTGATCGAGCGGATACGGATGCTCCTTCCAGGTACCTGGGGGACCTGCGGCAGTCTCACTCAAGAACCAACTCTCTGGGCAGCAATTCCACTTCATACCTCGATCAAGAGACGGACGGAGACTCTAAGGGAGAGAGCTCGCCGCTCTTCCTGCCGAGGACGCGGTCCATGGGGGAGCTTCACATGCAGGACACATCTCCAGATGCGCAGAGCAGGTTTCACTGGGTTAGCGGCGGGAACTTCTCCCGCACAGAGTCGAGCATCTCGCACCAGACTGTTGAGTTCGAGTCGACGATCGCCCACATGCGCACGCGCAGCTTCTCTATGTCAGGGCAGGAAGACGCGCAGCTGCCTCGATCCAACTCGTGGTCGGCACACCAAGACAGATCGCCTCTAGGACGGGCGAGCCGGAGAAGTCCTGTGAGTAGCGAGGTGCTTCCCAACAAGCGAGGTCCTCTCCGCAAGTACTCGGCGTCCTCCAGCAGCGGAGCCAGGTTCTATGCCAAGGTGGTAGACAGGAGGGGGTGAGGGGGAGAAGCGTGTGGGAGTAGGTATGTATAGCCGTTGACGTGCGAGTAGTTGATAGCCCTCAGCGAGGCTGGTAAAGCTTATATGGAACCTTAGTGTACACGTACTTGCAGATGCTCGAGAGGAAGCAGAGGAGGTCAGAGAAGGGGCTTGAAGGACACGCGCTTGGGGTAGAGGTACCTCTCTGACATGCTGCATGAGCGAACCATGCACACGAGGAGAGGACAGACCTCGAGACACGGAGGGGTTGGCGGCGGAGAAGCTTCCTCCGAACTCCGAGGCTCTCGCATACGACTCGAAGATGGTCGGGAGGGGAGGAGAAGCGAGCGAGCACTGCAGGCAGCGGTCAGGAGAGTCTCGGGCTAACAGCACGGTCAACCTGTGGGACGTGGAGAGCTCGGACCTCGACCTTGCCTTCCGCCTGCTCCAGGAGTGAGAAGGAAGAAGGCAGAGGGAGGAGACAGACTTCGAGGATGACGAGCACGTCCCCGAGAGTTCTCGGGTTCAGCATGAAATATCTGCCTGAAGCACCAGTCACTCCCTCCTTGGTTCCTTCTGCATCCTCCGCCCTCGCTCCTTCCGCAGCTGCTCCTTCCCCTCTGCTCTGTTCCGTGCCCCTTCCCTCCACCCTTCCGACTCCATCTCCTCCACTCACTTCTCAGATGAGACTCGGGGATCCCAGGGTTCTGCCAGACGCGCTCGCACACTGAAGCTTTCTGAAAGGAGTGTCAGGGGAGGGAGGGGAGGGAGGGGAGGGTGGAGCAGTAACTCTTACCAGCGCCTCTAGCGCCTCCTCGTTCTCCTCGCCCTTCACCGTGAACCATGGCACAAGCACCTGCCGCAAGTTTCAGCAACCAAGGAGGGAGGAGGGAGGAAGGGGAGGAGGAGGACAAGGAGGAGCAAGAGAGCAAGAGGGGAGAACAAACAAGGAAAGCAGGGGAGGAGGAGGAGGTGGACGGATGGAACGAGAGAGGGGGAAGAGGGAGGAGGAGGAAGGGACCTGTGGGTCCCGCAGCGCCTCTGCTGCCCTCCGGGACGCTCCCATGTCAGCGCCCGCCTGCTCCGCGTCCCCAGCAGCCTGGGCAGGAGGAGCGTCCTCCGTCTCCATCATCCAGATGCTCGAGTGCTTCTTTGCCACTAACTTCTTCTCCACCATCCCCCCCACCTCCACGACTTCTCCCTGCGGCACGTCAAGCTCGACAACACCCCCAGCTCTCTCCCACCTGATTCATCAGGGTGGTGAGGGCGTCCTGCAGGGTCGATCCCTCCTGGTTTCTGATCAATTTCTCCTTCTCCTCCTCCTCCTCCTCCTCTGCTTTCGTATTTTGTTCTCCTCTGCTCTCCTCTGCTCCTCCTTTCCCCCTTCCTTTTCCTCCCCCCCTCCCTCGCTCCCCTCCCCTCTGTCCTCTTCCTCCAGCTAGCCTCCAGCATACCGGCCAAGGTCCGACGGCTGTCATTTCTCCTTCAGCGCGCTGCTGCAGCTGCTGCACCGAAGCCCCCTCCTCCTTCTCCTCTGCTATCCAGCACGAAAGTTTCTCCAGCCACAGCATTGCCCTCCTCCTCTCCTCCTCGTTCTCCTTCTCGTCCTTCTTGCCATCTCGCCTCCAGAAAGGAAGAAGCAGCAGGTCGGCTGCATCCTCCTGCTGTCCATCCTCCTCGTCCTCTTCACCGGCACCACACAAGTCCGTGAGGTAGCAGGCTATGGAGTCGTCGGTGCTGCCGAAGGGGCCGAAGATGGAGGAAGAGGAGTCACAGTTGTTCTCGAGCACGATGACGCACTCAGGCAGGGGCTGCCGCTGTCACAACCGTCACTCCTCCTCCTCCTCTTGCCCCCCCTCCCCTCCTTCCTCCCCTCCTACCTCCCCTCCACCTCCTCCTCCTCCTCCTCTCCCCCCATCCTCCTCCTCTCCACCCGTTCTACCTCTCCATTCCTCCCTCTCACCTCCTCTGCACTCCCGTTCCTTCTCTGCCTGTTCACCGTATCCTCTTCTCGCTACCTCTCCTCCCTCACTCCTTCTCAACCTCCTCCGTGTTCGTCTCACCTGCTCCAAGTCCTCCCCCTTCCCTGCCTGGAGTCCCTCCGACATCGTCTGAAGGATGTGCGAGGAAATTCCTCCTCCTCCTCCTCCTCCTCCTCCGTTCCTCCGCTGCTCCTCTCCCTCCCCCTCCTCCGTCCTCCTCCTCTTCCCATCGTCGAGGATGTCAGGCGGGACCTGTGCTAGCGCCTCCACCAGCCCCTTGAGCTGGAGCAGCAGGAAGCTCGCGACTTCTCCTCCCCGGCACTTGGACATGAGGTCGGATGAGCTGAGAAACGGCTGCAGGTCCTGCCCGAGCGACTGCTGAACCTCCTGCTGGACACGGCGGAAGCAGCTGGAGGGATGCAGCAGCTTCTCGGTTGCATGCGAGAGCGCGAAGTTGAGCTCTGTCCTCTTCCTCTTGACCATGACCCCGAGTTGCTGGAGGCTCTGAGTGGCTGCCAGTGGCGTCAGCGTCAGCGTCAGCGTCGAGGAGGAGGAGGGGGTGGAGGAGGAGGAAGCGAGAGAGAGAGAGAGAGAGAGAGAGAGAGAGAGAGAGAGAGAGAGAGAGAGAGAGAGAGAGAGAGAGAGAGAGAGAGAGAGTGAGGAGGAGGAGGGTGCAACAACCGAACTCTACATCCTCCTTGGAGAAGCGCGAGAGGAGCGAGTAGAAGGAAGGGAGGGCGTTCATG